ATGATATGTTTAATCTGTAATAAAGATCAAAATTCAAATTTGTATTCCTTTAAAAAAATTTGTATTCCTTACATTTCCAGATTGCTGATACTTGCACTGTGAATTGAATTATAAAATGTTGTAATACAAACAAACACTGCACTGGAAGAAAAGAGTATGCAAATGCAATAGCCAATATGTAACAGATTCCAATAGCTCGAGTTTAATGGTAATTACCTATTATTATTGGAGTTTGTGATCCCTGTGATTTAAATTTCCGTGGTTAAATATATTTTGTTGATTATAATGTTATGATAGTATAATTTATTGTAAATTTGTGGTATTTAAGTATTGTGTAACGGGATGAAAGTGCTCTAACCAGGTGTAGCCAGTCCACACCCTGGCACCATAATATGAAGCACTTGTTTTAATTCTAAATGAAAAGCTCGAGAATGTTATATTTCCATCCATGCCATCTATGCTGCTTCAATAGATACAAGTTAAAACACAAAAACAATGGCAGAGCAGAAAATGTACCCATCAACCTTCAAATGTTGATCATTATCATGATTATTAAAACGGATTAAAAGCAGACTAAAACGGAATATATTCCTTGTTCAAAGAGAATACAATCAAGAAATTCATTTTGTCAAGATGACTTTAATGGGTTTTACGTCTAGGAAAATGGGTTTTATGATTCTAATGTATCAAGCAGATTATTGCTTCCACAACTCTGGGACCTAACCACTGGTTTTCTAGTCATCCATTATGTGGAACAAGTCCATTGTCCAAACTAACAGATACAAATTTAAAGCCAATTCAGTTGACATTTACTCAATCACTAGCAGTGGCGTAACGTTGCCTGTTGGCGCCCCCGCCGAAAATGCGCCCCCCTGTTGGCGCCCCTCACCCCTACTTTTGGCGCCCCTCCCTATCTATTGAACAAATTAGGTGATTTTAGAGGATACGCCGGTAATATCTTTAAAAAAGTGTGTTCTAAAGCAAACGCCGGTTTGGAGTACCTCAGTTAGTTTTTTCAATATTGTCCCACATTTCATAACGACGATTTTTGCGCCACCTAAGATGGCGCACCAAAGAGCATTTCAAGGTCACAGGTAAGCCAATATAAGTTTGTTTCAACCAGACGTTTAGAAAGAATTTATTAGCTATGCCAGGACATCATACAACAAAGATAAGAGCAGAGGCGGCTCCGTGGGCGCTGGCTGGCAGGTGTGGTGGGTGTCCATCAAGGTCACCGGACTCAGGGGGAAGGCCCCAATGCCGACTGCTGTTCGCCGAGGACTGCATACAATACCACAGGGCAGAAAGTTAATAATCAACTAAAATTTCTAACGTACATTACAGTTACACACAGGGCTTATCCTTTACTATACTTTATAAAGCGAGGACGATATCTATCTGTGCCATTTTACTGGACACCAATACCACCGGACATCACACTTTAACGCGACTTACTGCAAAAATCGTAAAAGAAATAAAAAACCGTAAAAGTTTTTAAAAAAATTGGCCAAGGAATTATGATTTTAGAGCCGAAAATTTGGACCCCCAAGTGGTGTCAAAAACGCCAATTAAATAGGTAATAATTATTTTAGTAACTTGAGTCTTGACACCGTTTAGGGTTATATTATACGGGTTCCTGCTAGTGTATGTAATGTGTCACAGGCGACAGCAAACAAAAACGGAAACTTATAAAATTGGTGAAATAGGACACCACATGTGTATGACGCCTGGACGCCCTCAATAGCCACCTCTGGATACGAGTGTGCCTCCCAAGAACAGTCCTCTTGTCATCGAGGAACATCGAAGGGGACAAGGCGGACAAGCAATAACCTAATAAAAGTAAAATTTATTTAAACAATTTACACATAATTGTCACAATGACCCTATATAAAAACAACCCTTCAAAAAATCAATATATTCCCTATCTCAAATATTGGGAGAAACATTTGAAAATCACCCTTGGCGTTGTGGCTCCAAATTCAAATCTAAACTATTTATATTAACAAAGTTCTTTCTCGCACCTCTGTCTCCCCGTAGACAAGCAATAACCTATCATTTGTCAACCTTATTCCAAGGATAGACGACCAACACAACCAAGTGGATGGTATCAAAATATTTCAACAGAGTATACGTATACAGTTTAGCGTACGAAGAACAAACATAGATTCACATGATCTGAGAAGTGTACAAATTTTGAAAAGTTAGTCGTAGCGCTCGATCCTCATTTCACATTACAAAATGGCGCGCATAATATAAAAGTGAAATTTTAATTCTGCTGTCCGTCAATGTTTTTATGTTACTCAGCCTGCAACATGCAAGGTGCAGGACTGAGGACTATGGATCGATTTTCTATTTTCAATGTAGTTACAATTTTGAATTTATATCTAAGGGCTCTTACCATTACTAATTTGCTCGCCCAAAAATTTCACGTGACTTTGGTTTTTATGGTTTTGCAGCCTACAAAACGGTTTTACACAAACCCTAATCCTAAACCAGAAAACCTAACCGTTAGTGGTTAGGGACCGAACTTCGGAAATAAAAAATAGAAAGTTCTGTCCGTCTCGTAAAACTAAAGTTAGCTCCCCACGAGCACAATTTGGGACAACGTAGATTTTGAATTATCCTGAAACATGAAAAGTATGATTTTGAGCCAAATTAAAGATCGCAGCTTTTTAACTTTGCAAAATAATGTTGTTGCTATGACTCCAGATTGGACAAATATTTTTCGATCAGTATCACCGTACCCGTTAAATTAAATCCTTCACAGCTCGGCGAGGCCCAAGGCTCAATGGTGCATTTCGCCGATCTAGACGTGGTTGCGAGAACCATTATTTGCAATAGCGCATTGCGCTACAACACGTCAACGTAATGCAAAATTTGTATCACGTCGTGACCCCCAATGTCGTTTCACTATAGTGTAGAGTTTTTACGATATAGTGGGAGCCGCGCACTCGTGCGCGGCGGGTCATACAACGTATGAAAAGTGCAAATTCAAGCTTACCTGGGGATAGGACCCCAGGCGATTATGTTCATAAATCATAAATAGAGATTCGGCGGAATCAGGAATGATGGGCTGAGCGTCGCCCAGTAAAATCAAGCAAGTTATAGAATTAGACATATTCAATATTTCATACGTATCAAATTGCGCTCCTGTCCTACCAAATCGCTCGCCCAAATTTTAAGAAAATTCTTGTGAAAGGGCACTTTTATTTGGTTGTGAAATCGATCTCAATCGGTGTATTTTTGGACGCTGATTCCGAATCATCCTCCATGACGTGTAGGGTAAAAATTCTTCCCTGGAGAGTTACGGGCAAAAAACCGTTTTGGTCACGCGACAGGCTAGTAAAACATGAATTCGATCGTTTAGGGCTCGGGTTATGGCAAAACCACAACAACTATTAATAGCCTGGGGTTCACCTAACCATGTGCTTTTGCGCCACTTCGCGATTCGGGCGCGCTTGTGAGGCGGGCGCGCGCTACTGCAAGCGCAAGGGCTCTGGATAGAGCAAGCCTGGGGTACTCAGGTAATCAAAAATAAATTACCTTATAATCGGACGTTATTCGACCGAACATTACCTGGGGACCTCAGGCTATTATGTTCATAAACATATAATATATTTATGTTCATAATCATAGAATAGAGTGTAGAGATTTGGCGGCCGAAAGACAGGCTGAGCGCCGCCCAGTAAATTTTTGGCCAATTTTTACCGGTCTCTCTTTTTGCTTTTAAAAGCTCGCTATGTAATAGCTTCAAACTGGCTACAGGGAGTTTGTGGTCCCCAGCATAGCTTCACACTTTTTTATTTGTCAATGTAGCTAAAAATCTTGATACACGTTGTATTGTAACGGGTAACCCCTTTTCGCTCGCGAAGCGTGCGACGGCCTCCGGCCACGTGCACGCTTCGTGAAGTTCGCGTGCACTTACTGGCCGGCAGCGCTCAGCCTGTCATTCCGCCACATGTTTATGAACATAATAGCCTGGGGTCCCCAGGTAAGCGTGCACGAGAAAGGCCAGGCTTACAACGTGTAACAATAGAAATCATGTCATGTCTAGCAGTCTACGTGAAACTGTTTCGCTTATGAATGACGAATTAGAAACTGGAAGAAAGGAGAAAAGTTGAATGAAGAGTAAAGTAAAAGAGTGAAACTGGAACGGGGAAAACCAAGGAAGGAAATATTCTGAGCGAGGCCAGAGGCATTATCAGGTCTGAGGTGTGAGGAACCAGGGGTATTACGAGATATAACGTAAAAAATAAAACATGATCATGATGATTGGAAGAAACATGACGAAGAGGAAATAATACTGCCTGTATTTTATGTCACAAGGATAAACGAGAAGAAAAAGCGAAGGCTTTCTATTGGGGTTATTAATATTATATATCAAAAATTAAAAATCGAATGCTGAACGAGCATTGAAGTCAAAATACTTATGTGTCAATCATATTATTCAAAATCTCAAGTGGCCAGATTTACGACATTCTAGTTGGACTGTGAACGCAATCTGCATGTTTTAAAACTTGCAGGATTGAAAAGCTCGTAAATCAGCATAAAGCAGCGACTTTTATAATTTACCAAAACGGAAAGACGAATGAGAACAGTTTACTTAACCATGTTCGTAATTCCAAGTCTGATGAAATTCCTGGGAACTCCATACATTGGAATAAAAATGTAATAGAATCGTCAATGTAATGGAGCTATTGAATTTGATTACCGAATGTTCATTATATTGCTAAAGTACTGAATATGAAGTATTTATGTTTTGCAATTCAAACTGTATCAGTATGATGAATAGGGCTATCCAGTTAACCCTGGAACATGGAAGTTACAACTAAACACTAAAACGCGGCCACCAAAACCGAAATAAAGCAGCCGGCAGATTTTACACGTCAAAAGTCGCAGCAACCGAAATGACTGCAATCTTGTCGATCACGTGACATGACCCTTTCAAGTATCCGCCTACAAGACCTCTGCAATGCTGAGCCCCCCAGTTTGCTCTCGACATGCTTGTATTCGTTGTGTGGTCCGTTATTGTGCTGGATGCTGGGGCAGAGCATCGAGCGAGCCCTCCTGTCATCATCCAGACTCCAACGAACATGACAGTTGCTCCTGGCTCGCCTTTTAAGCTGGAATGTAAAGCGGAAGGGGCTCCAGCACCTAAAATAACTATTACAAGACTAGAGGAAGCAGAGATGGATCAAGTCAAATCAACAGGAAACGGTTTAGACGGTGAACTACGCCCGAAGGAGGTGATCTACATGAACGAGGAGGTTTACGCTTTGGATGAGGGATGGTACCGGTGTGTAGCTGCTAACAGTCAGGGAGTTGTCTTCGCAGATGCCTACTTACGGATCAAAGATCTTTGTGGAGATGTCACGTGCACAGGGGGCAAGATCTGCGTTCCTGACAACGAAGCTGCCACTGCATCCTGCGTCTGTCCTATGTGTGTGGATAAGACATACGATGCTCTTTGTGGAAGTGACTGTGTCACTCACTTCAACTACTGTCAGCTTGAGCACAAAAACTGTCTTCATGGGACCAGCTACAACAGATTCCTTGACAGCTCTTTCTGTCCTGACTTCACCCCTCCTGAGTTTGTTGAAACCCCGCCAAGAGAGATCGACGTGGTGGAAGGAAAAGCTTTCACTTTAACTTGTAAAGCAGCTCCTGCTGGAAGGAGCCCGGGACCTCCACCAACCATATCATGGTATTTACCAGACTACGCATTTGAGGCTCCATCTTTGTACGACGAAAACCCCACACTTTATGGGCCTGACTATGGACAAAAAATTGGCGACGGAGAGACAATCGAACTGAGGGCAACTTACGACTATGAGGTGTTCTGTGTCGCTCATCACTGCAAAGATAGTGGAAATAAAGCTACGGACATTGTCTCTCACCAAGTAAATGTGAAGACAGGGCCTGTGGAGTGTTTCAACGAGTGGCGAGGTGGTCCATCTTGTCAAGTGTTTGGGGATCCCCATATCATCACATTTGATGACGTGGTGTACGAGTTTGAAGGACACTGTAAGTATATTCTGGCCAAGGATTGCGATAAGTGGACCATCTACGGTAATTTTGAGGCCTGTTCAACTCATGGAAGAGGTGCTTGCCTCAGTTCTCTCATCTTCAACTACAATGAAGAAATAACCATACAGCTCCAAAGAGGGATGGCTGTAAAGGTTGATGGTAAAGATGTAGAAATTGAAGGTCTCGAGACGCTAACAACTCAGACGAAGGAGAAAATATTTATGTTCATTGAAGGAGATTGGTTGGTCATCAAGTACAACATTGATATCGACTCACACAATGAACTTCGTTGGGATGGCCTGATGAGTGCCCAAATACTACTGGGGTCCAACTACCCTATAGTTGGTGGCCTTTGTGGAAATGCAAACAATGACACCACGGACGACTTTATGATGAGACGGACAACAAAAGTGGTTACCAACACTGCGAGATTTGGAGACAGCTGGAGAGTCGACAGCGAAAACTTGTGCTCAAAGTCTTCTGATTTGCCGAAGTGGAAGTGGAGGAGAGAGTTTGCGGACCGAAAAGGCGACGCTATCTCAACTTGCGAAAAAATGTTTGAATCTCCGCAGCTTGCCAATTGTGCTTACGGTTCCTCTGGGTTAAGCCAAGTTGATTCCAAACTCTACAAAAATTCTTGTGTGGCAGACTTCATGAGGTCGGACTTCAACGTGGACGAGGTTTCTGGGCTGAACATGGCTTGTGTAGCGGCATCAAACTATGCTGCGAGGTGCGACAACTTGGGCAACAAAGTACATCTGTGGCGAGAGCAGACGGGGTGCGCAGGAAAAGAAGAGGAACTAATTGAATACAAAAAGTTTATTCGAAAGTTTAAATCTAAAAGTGAGTTTTAGCTCTAGTGATATTAGTGGACTATGAAGGTATGGACCCAATATTCTCGATATTTTTAGTAATTTTGCAGAACGATCAATGATCATATACATTATATATTGAATTTTTTTTCATTATTAATCTGTATTTTACATGCAACAAAAAATTGTTGCAAAATCGTTTTTAACATTTTAACAGCAACAAAATAAACAGATATTTTCTCTGTCTTAACAAAATCACATCTACTTCAGCTATAGTCAATTAATTCAATAGAACATAAGATATCAATCAGTAGCCTAGCAGAACTTAAAGATTTTTTCAAGTCATCTTAAAACCACAATTTTCGTTCACACCAGAAATGAAGCGCTCAAAGATCTTAATTTTACAGGTAAAACAATCAACGAAAATAAACTAAGAATCAAAAGTCTGAAATTCCATATTTTTGACAGTAAATTCAAACTTTTCAAGTAATAATGTCAGCTACAAATATAATTGCCAACATTTGAACGTTGTACCTTTAAAATTTTCGTAAATATAAAATATCTCTTCTTGAACCCTAAATTAAGTTCTCAAATTGAGACTCCTTGAAATGATTTCCAATATAAGTACAGCGCTGCTCAATGCACGTACCATAAAAGCTACGAGAGTGAACTAAATGGTCGGAACAATTAACCTTCACGTTCAAGAAGTTAACTTAATCCGACAATATCTATATCACAGTATAATATATTAACTGTATGATAAAGATAACAATCATTATTTCAAAAATAGCATCATCACAGGACTTTGTCTTTACCGCCACTTCAGCTGGAGAAATGAAGCACCGATATGTGAGCAGACTGTAAACAAAATTTAGAATATTCTGCGCCTTTTTTGATTTTCTGTATGACCCCAGTTTTAGGAGTTAGCTTCTTTTATTTTTTTTAAAATGTTGGGGCACCCACTTTACCTCCCTATTGGGAGGCTACGTCCGTCATTAGTGACTAACGTCTATTAGGAGTTAGCTGTTACTACCTTCCCTAATAAATATGCTCATCTGAAACTTGCTTAATAGTTCATTTACACAGGACCTAGTAAAAATTACGCACTGATTGACGGCTGACATCAGTGTTCATTCTCAGCCTCTGACCCTTTTCCAAATCACTGTATCACACAACCACTGTCGTTGTCGATGTTTTTAGTGTTTCCTCCGATATCTGTCTCTTTGGCTGGCGGTAAGTCGTCTTTATCTGATCCAGACTGAGGACGAATAGCGAGTGTTAGTTTTGAGGAGCGATTTAGACAGAATGAACCGCAAAGTTAAGGCATAGAAGAAGAGACGTCTGAGGATCAAATTATTGAGATACAATTTGTTGTGATCATGAGAGAAAAATTTAAAATAAACAGACTTTGTCACAATTAGTCTAGTCATGCACCATATATTGTCACATGACTACAATGTTTGTGGCAAAATCTATTTATGTCAAATTTCATGACCACTCTAAATTTGAGCTTATTTTGTGGCCAGTGTAATCAAGTAAGCCAACCGCGCTACAATTATTGTTACGTGCGCGCGAAAAAGAAGATGTTTTATATTTACAAATATGGTTCGGATTTCGCGTCAAAAAAACAAACGTAAACATGATTCGAAAGCACGCACTGTCGCTATCTAAAGAAGAAGTAAACAAGGAGGCGTGAAGCGACTTCTCTTTGCTCCAGGCATTTTGGGCTTGAAAAATTTCTTTTTTGTAGGTTTCATTCCAAATTCGTCGAGTTTCGGTTCTGTGTCAAATACCAAGTCAGTCAGTCTGCCTTTCTGTAGAAATATCTGTCATAATTGTCTGTCTGTATGTATGTCTGTATGTCTGTCACAACCACAATTTAGTCTACAATGCCACGCAAAAGACGTTCTAAAATATTTCTTAGACAAAGTGTAAATCATACTTACAATCTTAGGAGGAGCAGTTTCTTGAACAGTGAAATCTTTGTAAGCCTCTTCAGTGTAGATTGCATGTACAGCAGGCATTTCGAAAGGAATGGGGGCCGCTAAACCGAATGTTGCTTTTAATTCAAGTTCTGGCAACTCCTCTGGAATTTTCTGGTAGTATCTGAAATAAAAAAGGTTCACTGTAACCACATTGATGATTGAAGACATTTAAAATCAAATATTATCACACATGACTGCTAAAAATAAGATAAAACGGGTTCAATTCCAAGCAATAAAATTAATAACTCACATGAAGCCATTTTCCCGTTCACTTTTCTGTAGTCTGAGATCTATGCAGGGGCCTAGTTTCTGAAAGAAAGGATGTCTGGCTGGCCGGACTTCTCCAACTGAGTTACCCGGAGCGTGTTCGTACTGTTTGCAAAGTCCCTGAGCTTCCTTGTATACTGCAATAGAATAGTGAGTTCTGTCTTAATTGGTTTGCACAAATGTTCCAGTCCTGCAAATAATTACTTGAAATTGTGTCGAATACTGGACAGACAGACACCTTACTTCACAGCGTTCGAAAGATTGAAACTTACAGTTCTGAGCCTCTTTGAGAGTTTTGATGGATTCACCACATTTGTCGAGAGTTAGAAGATGTTCACCCTGGAAGGAGCGTGCGTACGCAGCGTAGAACTTGATCTTTACTTGGAGATATCTACGCCACTTGGTCACAAACTCAACGTCGCATTCACGCAGGGCTATATCAGCATCACTAAACAACTTACTGAAAGGAGTACATATTGAACGAATTATTAGATGAAAAAATATACAAGTTTCTATTAAAAATACAATCCAATCATTATAATCATTCTCAGCTGAAAGCAAATAATAAAACAGTTTTCCCACCTAGTTTCATGCGCTAAAGCAGATATAAGGTCAGGCTTGTGCTTCAGCTCGATAGCACGTGCAACTGTCACCTCCTGCGCTTCAGCCGTGCACTCCAGTTTGTACGCGGTCAGTATTGGAACAGTACAATCGTGCCAGTCCTCAACCTTAGTGCTGTCTAGATGAGGCGACACTTTGTCCTGAGGAGTCAGAATTTAATCTCATGGCTGCGATACTAGGGAGAATATTACTTTCATAATGAAGGAAAAATTTGGTCTCAATCTTATCAGATTTTAAAGAAAATTTAAAGTTTTGACACTAATTAGCTTATAAACCAAAGCTTTCACGCATTATAATATTCAGTGCATGATATTTTGCAGAATGTAAGACGTACCAAGACATATTCAAAAATCCCTGCAGCAGTTCTCAAACATGTGTGAACTTCTTTCGCCTCGGCCTCTGCGTAACTGAGATAGAAGTTTGGTTAGATCAGAAATATAACAAGTCAGTAGCAGACAGTTCTAAACGGAGAATATTTAATAAACAAAGTCACATACGGCAAGTAGCTTTTATTCAGGGAACGAATTTTGGTATTTCTCCCGTTTTATTTCGGCAGTTACAATAAAAATATGTTTTTAAAATTTTGAAAAACAAAAGTAGTAGATTTAGTACATGTAAAAAGTGAGCATCATCTCTGTGTAAAAACAAGAAAAGTCATCAAAAGTTAAAAAATAATAATTTGAAGACAAAAAAAAACATAGGTCAAAACAAAAAGTAAGACAATGGTTACACTATTTTACTCGAATTTATTTTCTCATCAATAACTATGAGGTTCTATTGTCTTAACGATACACACGCAATTAATGTGGCAAATTGTCAGCGCAGTTGAGCCTTAAAATCTCAATTATAGTATCCAGCCTCCTCTCAACAAACTTCAATCTGTGCAGTCAGATCAGTTCCAGGCTCAGGAAACTTGTCAGCTCTCAGAGAAACATACAGAGCGTAGTTGCCGTACACTGGTCCCGCTGAGAAGTAGCTTGTGTGACCGAAATCAGTGCCCTGGATAATGGGTTTAGAGCAGGACGAGTAGGGACACTTCTGGATGTTGGAAACTTCAAACCTGTAGTTGCTATCTCTAGAAGATGCACAAGCGGAGGTGCAGCTCATGTGGTTTCCTAGACCGTGGTATGTCAGCAGATCTTCTCGCGTGAAACCTCCGGTTAACATGATCCTACTGGCTCAATAGTTTCCCCACCAGTTCAAGGCAAGATCGTCGTCTACTGAAAATATCGGGTCATCGTCCAGATTGAGAGCGTTCTTGTGCATGGAAACTTGAATTGGACCTCCTTGGGAAGCTATCACTTTACCAGGGTTCATGTCTGCAAACCTCTCCTTCATGCTCAACCCCCAGTGCGTGAACTTGAACACTTTGACAGCGTCCACCACCCCGTGCTGGTGTCTCACTATGGCCAGGTAATCTACAGGCTCCTTTCCAAACCAGCCTATCTAAATAGTCCATAGACAGGGCATTTTTGTCAGAGCCAATAGAGCCCCCGGAGGGCCACCCTGTAAGATAGTCCATCTGATGACCATCAGCAGGATTCAGGTTCATACCCAGATGCCAGATCAGATCACACCCTGACTCATTCCTCCTGGTACCCTCATTTTGCTCTTCTATTTGCTCGTTTAGAGTGTTCACTGCCAGTTCCAACCTGAACAGCTCCCCTGGTAACTCCGACAATTTCTTTCTAAACTCCTTCATTCCGTTGTTCAGTTCAGTTTCACCGGTCAGACCCACAACACCCGCCTCAATGTCCAGAAACTTTTCGATCAGACCGAATAGTTCCTCGTGGAACGTGGTCATTTCCTCCACCAGAACGCTTGACGAGTTGGGGAATATGGCATGACAGTTGGCAGGGTCAATGTGCAACACGAAGAGGAGCAGAACGGGTATTCTACTGATTTATCCATGTGTGTGAAATTATCACAGTTAGCAGTGTATGTGGACGTATGAAAACATAAATGATAAAAGCGCAGTAGCGATGGCTTTTCAATATTAGTATTAAAAAAAGCTTATCAAGAAAGAAATAGTGAATGAAATGCTTTTATTCATGCCTTGCCGAAATTCTGAACCCCCAATTACCAGTTTGAACATTTTTCATTTTCCCTCCAAAAAGAACAATATTATATGCACTTTACAACCTATTATATTATCATTATTAATTACATTAATGAGGTATTCAGTTAAAACGTTGCCCGAATTCTTTTTCAGAGTCGCCTTAAAAGTTTCAATAATAAAAAGAGCAGCAACATTCAGTTTATGTAAGAGAACTGAGAAATAAACGTAGCGATGTCATTAGAGACTAGAGCCATTAAATGTAAACCAAACCACTTGGTACTGACAACCCTTGATCCGAGATTTAAAAGGGCACTGACCGGCGGTTCCAATAGAAGACATACTACAAATAAGCGCACGTGAAAGTCTGATTCAAATTCCTGCAGGCTTAGTTCATTCTATCGTGAAAATTGGAGATGGGCCGGCTGGCTCAATCAAAATAGCATTCAAGACCATTCAAAACTAATCACTTGGAATGCTCGAAATATCAAGAACTTAAATCTAAACAGCTTAAAATAAGGGTAAAGAATCCGTGGGAGGTTCCGTAGTAATTGGACTGTAAGTTTCACGGTTTTTACAATAATTTACGACCATATTAAAATGTTAGTTATTTGGACTTGAAGAAATGCTCGAATCAGGAAGGCAGAAGTAGCTACTTTCTGGTTGCAGGGAGCCCTACTGCAGACAGGGGAAGTTACAGTGAATAGCTTGTTAGAGGAGGTAGTTTACAGGTTTTATAGGGAGATAAGCAGGGTACCTAGACAGTTATTGAGCGAGATATTGATATTATCTCTATCACGATACTGATCACGAATTGTGGCAGGAACGAGTAATTCTTCTCTTATTCATATCGTTACGGCCAGTTAGCTCAGTTGTTTAATTCGCCATTCAACTATTATCTCAGAGGTTACATGTTCAATTCCCGTCGTGGGCAATTCTCAAAAACCAAAAAAGAAACACCTAGGTGTAGCCTAGCATAACCTAGCATAACCTAGCAAACCCACTTCATTCAGATAGTGCATGCTATTAGTTACATAATTATGCTATTTAGGTATTTTTAGCAATATTTAGTATTTTGAACGAACTTGTTGGAGCTGGCGACCTTAGCAGCACGTTTCATGTACCATATCCCAATGTTAACGCACACGTTAGCTATTTCAAAAACTGCGTCATTTTGTACCCTGAAATATAACTTGTATAATTGCGAAGAAAACTGAGCTGCAGTAAAAGCTTTTTATAATTAATACAGTATACTATTACTACTATACTGGAACCTTTAAAAGTTTAAAGATGCGAATTGCTCTTACCAATGAAGTAAATCTGAAGTCAAGCGGTTAAAAAAACTCACTCAGGATTTCTGCCTCCCAAAGACTGAGTCCACCGGAACTTGAGGAGATGTTGTAAAGGGCTGGCTGCGTCAGTAACTGACTGAGCAAAGCCCCGTACCAGAGGCAAATACTCCTCAATAACGGGGGTAGAGCGGGGGTCGGACAGCAGGTCCCCCATCTTGGAGACCAGCTGTGCTCGCTTCTGTTTCAACTCACTGTATAACATGTTATTAGAGGCTGTTGTTAGAGCCCGGGGTTTATTATTAGTTTACTGGTTTATTATATTATAACATAACTTTAATAGTTTATATTACTAGTTTACTGGTTTATTATATTAATATAACATAACATTTATAGTTTATATTACTAGGTTATTAATGTTATCTCACCACTAATTGATAACGATAAAGAAAGTTACGATAAAAACTACAAATTACTAACGCACATAATGCAGTAAGTTGCGTTATAACTTATAATTGATCTTCGTAGATTAAAATAAATAATTTAGATACTAACTTGACTATCTGATTAGCTTTCTGGGATGTGAGAACTGGAGTGAGATGTTTGGTATCCAGTGGTCCTGTAGCCTTCAAACAGTTCCGATGAAACCAATGTGACATCACCTGCTACTATTCATCTCATGTCAGCTAACATATTATATTATGACAGCTTGTTTACACAGCAATTTAGTTAATACAATCATTTAAACAGCTAAATATCGTAACGTGTAAGTATATTCTATGTTATACAAATGTTGAAAGCAGGCTTTGAGGATCATTCAATGAAGACTTAATTTCTCTTTATCACACAGCTGAAGAGAATAATCATTCATAAAGCTACGAGAAACAATTGAACTTGCTGTAATCATCTTACAAATATGATGAAAGTGTTCGTTATATAATTCAAAATTCACATAATAACCCTTATCATATCATTATGAATTGATTCAAATATAATAACTCTTGAAAGTTGTAATAAAACTTGTAAACTATTAAAGTCAAAGATATTATCATGATCCGAAAGAGGTCACAATAACACCACACATTTTACCACATCAACAATATCGGAGAGCAAGATGGCTATTACTCTATTATGATGCATGATGGCTATATCTAGATATAAAGCTTATTCTGAAGCCCGTATATCACAGAGGAAATGTTGGATTCTGAACCTTGACTGAAGTACTGACAGGGTGCTGATTGTTTGATTGTCTTGCTGTACCAGGGGTATTAGGGATATTGTCTACATGGTTGTTGTTATCGATAGCTAATGCCTCCATAGCCTTCTTCTTCTGAATCTCATTCATCCTCCTCTTCTTCTTCTCAACTCGTTGCCTAACTGATCTCAGTGTCACTTTCTCCGTGATCAGATCTGGATACAAAATATGGGAATTCCTCCGTTTTCTGTACGAACACAACATGTCTTGCAGGGATATGTCCGGGGTTAATAACTCCTTGTGACGATTCAATCTGTCCTCAAACGAGTCGTCCTCGTCAGAAGAATTAGAATAATCCTGAGTGCTAATCTTCACAGACAGCCAGATCTTCTCGTATTCTAACTGAGCAGCAGCTTGTAGCCGCATCTCACGCTCCGTGAACGAGGCACAGTCGTTTGTGAGGGAGGATCCCACGAAAGATACTTGTGTGTGCATTGCGTCATGGAGCGCTGTTTTACGAGACATCAGGATTTCAGTCAGCAGATCCTTGTAGTACTTCTGCCTCATTAGCTTGTACTTAGTATAAGATGCCTGCTGTTCAATCGACAGGAGCTCCGCAATACGAGGGTTAAAATGTCCCCGCTGCAGTTTCTTATGGAACAGATAAACAGGATTACCAAACTTGAAGTTCTTGCCACTAAGGAGGAGCTGTACAGTTTCCTCCTGGAGATGGTAACTGTCCTGAGGTCGGGGGAAGTGGGGTAAGTACTGACGGAGGTGGTCCCTCTCCTCGTCATCCAGCAGGAGCGCCCACGTTGTGTAGTTTAGCACTGACGCTAGCACTGACTTCTCTGAGTATAGGAGTAGGGGGAGGTTAATGGCACAGTCCCGGTATATTGCTATCTCTTCCACCGTGTCGTTCATCTCTTCCGTGGGTTCGTCAGATGAGTCGACCATTTAAATCTGAGGTGTCTTTGTGAGTTTTGAGAGTCATTAATGCAAGAATATAAACTTTGTAGATAGTACTTATTAATGCAAATGCTGACAATTTAAATATTCCTTAGGACCTTCTTTCGCAAAAGTACTTCATTGTCAACATTTTCAGTTTAAAAGGCTTCATAGTTCATTCAAAATTCTGCTCCGTAATAAATTTTCCAAATAGTGTCTAGTTTGTGCCTGACAAGTTTCATGACGATCCCATAAAAGCTTTGGGAAATTAGAAGATCGGAGCTTCAATTGTTACAATGGTGAAAAAAACAACATCCACAGATAGAAACAAATATTAAACCATCCATATAGAAGAAATAATCTGTCGACTCAAAATGCGGATATTCAATAATTTAACATACAATTTCCTTATAAAAACAAAACGCCAAAAATATTAAAATTTTGAATCTATCAAAAATCAAAGTCTGTCTCTAGGAGTGAGTCTGTACTGCAAGAGATTTGTGTAAAGGTAAAAGTCAAAGTTAACGATGTCAGACAGATTCCCCAGAAAGTCCATGTGATCATCCTTCTCGTTAACTAACATCAGAACGGAGGTACCTTGGCGACCTGCAGAGTGCGGGGTGTTAGCAGAGGGTGTTAGCAGAGGGTGTTAGCATGGTCCGGTGAGTTGGCAACTATTCGACAGATTAGTAAATTTAGTGCAAGTATTTGCAGTTCTTATATTACAATCAATGGAGGCCATTACAATTTTCGCAACACTGATGCACGACACTACAATTTGATTGTAAAGACGATACACATTAAAACAATGGATTAGTGTAAAGTGGTAAAGTGGAGAAGTGGTAAAGTGGAGAAGTGGTAAAGTGGTAAAGTGAAGAAGTGGTAAAGTGGTGAAGTGGTAAACTACCTGCTCTACCAGTTCTACCAGAGCGGTGAATATACTTCTTATTATCCAGGTCAGGTTTAATGTGAACCACCAGACTACACTCAGGAACATCCACACCACGTGACGCCAGGTCAGTTGCTACCAGGATCTCAAACTTATTCTCGTAAAACTCCGACATAACCCGTACTCTGCTGTTTTCTGGTACCTGTTTATAGAAAGTGGGTGATTTGTGTCAAGGAATTGTCAGCCAAGTCAATTATACGGAGATTTCAGATACCTAAAGAGGTATAAATAATATAATCAACCTAAAGCAATTTCGCTTTCGGTTCATTATCCAGATTTAAGAGTGTATGATTTAAATTTTAACAATAATAGCTCATACACCTCCCCTTATAACTGATATAAATTAGAAATGTTTGTAAAACTGCAGTGTTGCTGCAGCACATCATAGTGGCTGACTTACATCAGAGTTGATGTATTTGACGGAGTAACCAAAGCTCCTCACCAACTCAGTTACTCTAGAGCAATCGTCCTTGTGTTTGACGAACAGCATACTACAGGACCCATGTTCGTTCTTCAGGACCCACTTCAGGCACCTCTTAAACACTCCTACATCGTATAGAACTGCTTTGTGTTTTATGTGTTCTGGTAGTGACACCGACTGTGGGCGAATGAGAAGATAAAACTTATACATTTTATATTATCATTATTATAATATCGTATAATTATATTTCTTAACCTCGCCTAATATCTTAAGAGGATGGAACACAGGATATAGACGAGTTGAAATATATAGTGTAATGTATAGTAAGATAAAAGATATCGTTTACTTCTATTAAAGTATTAAGCAGTTTTAAATTCTCCCTTACCGCTGCTCCCAAGTCTATGTACTCATGATACTTCATATATCTATCAATAACAAACTGGACATTAGAAGGCACGGTTGCCGTGGTAACAATCATCTGTTTGCTGGGGTTGGAGTTGTCTAGGATCCACCGCATGTGTTGGTAGAACAAGTCGTGAAGTAGCTCGTCTGCTTCGTCTAGTACCAGAAACTTCAGGGACTTTGGTCTGGGAAACAGAGGACAAGGTTAGTAATCAAGCAGCACCTACATTCCTACAAGTTAATAAATTAAAATAGAGATGATTGTGGCTGGTAAATATTAGTTTGGGTGTGCCCATGCTTTTAACTTTCCAGTTAGTTATGTTAGTATTCAGAATTATGTTCATACCTAATAATGTTATTGGAGATAAGTTGCATAGTTCTGCCTGGAGTAGCCACGATGATATCCTTGCTCTCCAGCCTTGCCTGTCTGGCTTGCTTCTTAACTTTCACCAGTCCCGCTGTCATCAGACTCACTCTTTCTGGTCCTATAAACTCCTCCAGCACACTGAAACGTCAGATTGAGTACTTCAGTAACCATGGTAACAGAGTACAGAGTAGAGTACTATTTTAGTAGAGTACTATTTTAGTAGAGTACTATTTTAGTAGAGTACTATTTTAGTAGAGTACTATTTTAGATACACGATACACTTTCAGGTCTGATCATGTATCTTTGTAACGAGAGTCTAAAGACTAACATAACGATTGATACCTTGACAATAATAAGTACATGGTAAATGTTCCAACCTGGCGATCTGGCGGCAGAGTTCCCTAGTAGGTGCCACAATGACAGCTTGAGGAGCCCTCCCTCTTTCTTCTCCTATCCTCTGCGCTCCCACTTTGTTAAGGAGTGGTATGATAAACGCCAGTGTCTTCCCACTACCAGTTACTGACTTTATGACCGCATCTCTTGAGAAGAAATCTCTGTTAGAGCCATGTCTCTTAAATTAATTAAGTGCCAATATAAAAGTTCAATGTTGGCTTGAGATCAAAGATCTATCAAGATTCAAGAACTAGATAAACTATAACTGTGATGTTGACGGAGTGTAAACTTCGTATTATATAAACTAAAACTTGGTTAGCACATACTTGCCTCGCAGTGTAGCCTCCAATGTTCGATGTTGGACTGGTAAGGGTTTCTCGTACCCCAGCTCTTTCAATCGCTCCCTCAGCTCTGGTTGGAGCGACTTGAAATCAGCAAAGTTAACTTTTTCCTTGTGTTCACGTTTATTTTCTGACAAAATTAGCGTTTAAGTAAGTGCACGGTTAATAAAAATATCTAAATATCCGTAAATTACAAGATATAGCGCTGATAAAGATAATAATTTGATACCCAATATACACTCTGAGTGTACTACGATGAACTGTCACAGTATCACACTGAACGTGATATTTGATTATAAAGGTATGAACATTGAACAATCGCAATAATTACCGCCAAAAATGTCCTTCAACTCGTCATTGTAAGAAGGCTGATATATCTTAATATTGAGATCTGAAGCCGGAGTGATGTGTCTGTTGGATACTGCCTCAGAGTGGGGGAGTGAGGAAGTGAGACCGGTCACGTGACCACCTGTCACGTGACCATCAGTAAGATGTCGACCACAGCAGTATATGGCTTGGTAGTGGGCTTGGAGCCGGAATATAGTCCTCACATGCTGCATCCTAGGCTGTAGTACAGCGTAGTTATGCTAATAGACCAGGTTACTGGTTACAAGAAATTAGGAAATAGTACGAATCATCGGCGTGAAAATCTTCAAAAGCATTGTTGTGTATTAATTTGGTTAAATATTGAATATGGCGTGGAGGCACACTCTCGAGGAACGTTTTGACATTGTTGAAATTTCATATTCTCTCGAATTTTCTGTATACCAATGACACTGCGACTGAAGGAACTAATAAAATTCGAGAGAATATGAAATCAACAACGCATTAATTTGGCAAATCTGCAAATCTGTAATAACAGTGGCCTGGAAATCTCAGTTTAAATTGGAGTCAGAGTAATAAACAATATAATAATGTAAGCCTAAAAGTAATAACTTATTATTTAATCAACGTACAAACGGCGTTTATAACAGCAATATAATTATCATCGCCTTACAATACTACATGTCACAGTACACTGTAATGATCACTGTGTTTCATAGCCTAATGGATTATGCCTTTATACAATGCCCATGTTATCACAAATTTACACGACCATCCAAATATTTCACCGCAGCTCAAAACATCCAATGAAAATAGTCTCCAAGAGAAATGGTAGGTTTAAGAGTTCTAGTAGGATACAGTAGGGTTCTCTCTAACGTCCCCTAATCTGTCCTGTAGAGACAGCTCGTGAGGGTAGGGTTTCTCCCCGGGGTTGTATATGTTACCGGGGGTAGGTGCCACGTACGCAACTTTACCCGCGCTGAAATCATTTCTGTGTTAGAGATTTTAAATCATTGTGAAGTTAGTGTAATGCCAGATTTCTAGACGCAGAATTATCTGCCGTCTGGCGTACAAAAATCATGTGTCCTAATATATTTGTCATATAACCATCAGTTATAATTTATATTATCAGAGAAAAATATAAATTTTAACAAAAACCCACCTCTCCTCAGCCCCAGCCTCTATCTGTTTATTAAGCAAACTAACAGGAGGTCCCATCTTCCTCCTGGTGTCCCTATCATAGTAGTAGTTAGCTGACACAGCAGAGTTCTCCGTGGGAGGAAACACTGGTTGAGGGGTGGAGCGGGGGGCCTGGTTCTTGGGTGCTCTCATGTGATCTCGGTACGGCTTCTTTGTCAGAAACTCTATCAGCTTGTGTCTGAACCGTCCACCTGGTATTAGGCCGCCACTCATTGTTTGCTGTACGGTGACGTGTACGTGGTTAGAAAGGGTTTGGAGTTTCTATTTTGATTAATGGTGATTTTAATCAACCGTGTTGTTTAATCAATAAAGTCTAGACTAGATTATAGATAAGTAGGACAACTCGTAATTTCGTGAACATTTTGTTAGTGCAGTCGTTTTATTCAGTAATACGCCTCAAGATTATATTATATTGTTGCTTTAAACTTTTAAAAGACAGATCGGTTGGAAATCAAAATACAGAATTTAGTACTTCAATTTAAATTTCCTCAAAATTAAAATCATTTTAGTTCACAAAAATTAATTTCAATCGGGAATTCAAATAAGTCATCGGTTTGTGATAACATCAAACTTTAAAAAATTCAATCACAAATAATCACATCATCATAATATCATCATAGCACCATCACAGACGTTCTGCCAAGTACAGAAAAGAAAATTAGCTCAAGTTTACACCAACAACGATTGACATTCGAATGTACAGTATTTATATAGCAGTACGTACTGACTCACAGACTATTTTAAAGCTAACATCATCTAGATTAAAATCCGAAACCCTAAACCTTCAAGATGTGCAAAAATGTATATAAATATAATCAAGACTCGACATAATTAAGTAAATAACATTTTGTCAGATTGTATTATCATTGCTCTGCTGATTGAATAACTCTCAGTTCTACAAAATGCAAGCTTTATAAAGTTATAAGCTACCAAAAAGTAAAAATCAGGTATCAGATTTGGGGCTGAAGATAATTATTAAGGAATCTAACTAACATCATTTAAGATTCAAAATATTAAGCATAACTAAAAACTTTGGCATCTAAAACACACCAATTTCAACTGCTCAACAACTTCGCCATTTCCTCCTCCAGAGACGAAAACTTAGCTCTCATATCTGCTAAAGACTTATTAACTTGAGCCTTATGTTGGGTGATATCAATCTGTAACTTCTCCGTGTTATCCCTCAATTTCCCATGATATGACTGCAACTGTTTCACCTTTTCTTCGCATTCCTTCACCCTGTTGATATTGTCCAGGAGTCCACTAGCAAACTTGGTGGAGAGAGCCTCCTCTAAATGGGAACTGTGTCCCTCCATGAAGTGATCAAACTCTTCAGCTGCCAACGAAAGTTGATCAGGAGTTATGTTTTCAAGGAACTGGAGGGCACAACAAATATTGGTAAAATGGTAGGCCATCTCACCGCTGGTAAGTTTCTCTTGGGGGAGGAACCGGTCGATATACTGAGTAGTAGCGAATAAGTTGGGAGGTGCTGCCACTATGATCGTGTATATCAACATGGGGAGGAGTTCGTCTGCTCCAGCTGCTTTATCGTGAGCCAGGTTGAACAACTCATGAAGTGCTTTGCAGCACAGAACAATACAAGCTATCTTATCATGGGGACTTCGCTTTTTATTCAGCTCTAGGAGATAGTATTGTGCTAGTGCCAGTTGGCGATCTGAGTTTTCATTATCACTGGGCAGGCTGAAATCTAGATGTTTGGGAAGAATCCAGTGCAATGATCTGATTTTACTGTCTAAAGTATCGTTCTTACCTCTATCCATCGGAGGATTAAAAACGTTCGCATAAATGTTAACCATGACAAACCTTTCCATACCCACCACCACATCATCAACTGACTCTTGTTTCCAACCCTCAAAATGAGGAAAATCTCCTATTCTCTTGGTCATGTATCCATAGAACATCTGAACCTCTTTACTCCTTACACTGATATCTTCCTTGCTGCCCCTCACTCTGAATATAAAGTTTTTAGTTTGTTGAGCAATGTTTAAATCCAGAACTTTACCAGTCCTCAACATGAAGTAGTATGAAAACTGGTTACGGTCCTGGTTGTCTGAGTTTTCTTCTTCTTGGCAGTTTTCATTTTCTTCTGCAGCACGTCGTCTGTTGGAGGGACTTGGAGACAAGCCGGACCGGAAAAATTCCATGTGAGCTAAACCTGAGTGTGGATTAGGTTAAGTTCATTTTAGAGTGAGATAAAGGGCTATCAGACACGTCATATAATCATTATAATATATTATTATAAGTTATCAAGTAATTGTTAAATTAACATGCTGACTTGAAGCACCGTGAGACATTGAAATAGCTCCGAAATTTAAGAACCAATTAATACGAATTATGCATAACTTTAAGAACCACCACTACACAGAAGAAGAAACCATTAAAACCATGTCGATAGATGGATAAAAAAGGTTATTGAAAAGTACCATCTAATCAATCTGCTTAACCTTCAATATATCAACAGGCAATTATACATTATAATACTGATAGTGATATGGGTAAGTAAACTACATAAAAACAGTGACCAGAAGGCTAGTTCAACTGCAAGCTACTGACAGATTGAGTAAATTTACCTGAAAATGGCTCACTCTGCACTCGTCCCATATGAAATTTGCAACACCGAAAACATTATCAAGAATTTCCAACTGGCTCTGAGAGGATTGACCTTCAAAGAGGGTACTGTCTAATAAGTCTATAGCTATGGAAGCATATTGCTCCTAACTGACAACTGTTCCTATTTCTGGGATTTCTCAGATCATTATTTGTTGTCTTTTTCATAAAAAAAGGAGTTCTCGGTTGTGCGCTGTATTTTTAATAAATAATGCCTTTCCTACTGGTTGAGGGAAGCTAGACAGTGGTGGAATGACACAATGGCCATTGCACAAAAAATAATTGTTAATAATTGTTTTTGGTTCTTCATTGATGCTGCTCAAGTTTAGATTTAGATGATATGTGCGGTGTCCAGTTACTCGTGAACTCCTGGAGAATGTTTCTGCAGCTTGCAGTCTATGATTCTAGCTTTCTAGGGAACTGCTACGTCATAGGAAGTCAGATCAGAACTAGCAACTATTGTTTCAATTTCACAGTCAACGACTACGATTCTCTTGAATTGCTGTTGTGTTACTGCGAAATCAGAAATCAATGATTTAATCACTGCCAAATTGAAACATTTATTAATTGTTGTTTTTACTGGTAATCTTGTTTTGCTCTTATGAGTGGGTCAATCATTTATTTTTAATTGTAGTTGACGAAATGAGAGTCTCCACTCAGTGTGTTAAAACATAATTCTTTGTCGACGTTTCGGCTACATGCCTTTGTCATAAACAGGACGTACTGAAAACTTACATAGCTGCAAAGATACAATGTTAAAATAATCTATTAATACTACGAAATATAACAACAAAAAAATAAAATCTTGAAACACAACAACAATCACAAATTTATCCAAAAGAAACATAAAATATAATGGCTAAAAGAATCCACACCGCAACAAACCGTGAACAATTCCTCATAGTACTACAAACATTTTACCAAGATAGCTCCTTCATAAAACTGATTAATCAAAAATTATCTAGGTTTATAAGTTCAATATTACATTAACTTCCAAGTATATTTTATCCAATCACCTTCATTTACGGACTCAGACAATTGAGTATTTATTTCTGGGTTTTCACGTTTTATTAGAACCGACTGCCACAATTGACGGTCCACATAGTCTTTACATCTTTTTCGAACTATAAACCGAAACGGTATGTTTGGCATTGAAATGTCTGCATGCTCCTCTAGGTAGTGCTTCCCCATGGCCGTAGATTTGTTGCCATCCCTTACTGATTTGTAGTGTTCCCAGGCTCTACTTCTTTTAAACCTACCAGTTTCCCCAATGTAGGACTTATTACATATTTGGCATATTAATTGGTAGCAAATGTTTTTGATCATGCAGGATTTATCGCACTGGTAGCATTTGCTGTCACTTTGTTTATTGCATTTTGTTTGCTGTAGGCTAGATCTTGTTAAAGCTTCCATGAGACGTTTTCCTGATGTGAATGTTACCCTGGTGGAATCCAAGAGGTTTTGATTTCTTAGGGTATAGTAGACTTTTCGACACGTCTGTTCATTTATATAAGGTAATGATAAGTAAGCTATTTTTGAGTTCTTTTTAGGCGCATTTTGTTTATCCAGTGTATTCTGTGTTTCTCGAATAAGTTTCTTGACAATCTTAGGAGGGAAAATGCTAAAGAAGAATAGTTTCCCTCCTAATATTGTCAAGAAACTTATTCGAGATATGCTAAAGAAGAATAGTTTCCCTCCTAATATTGTCAAGAAACTTATTCGAGAAACACAGAATACACTGGATAAACAAAATGCGCCTAAAAAGAACTCAAAAATAGCTTACTTATCATTACCTTATATAAATGAACAGACGTGTCGAAAAGTCTACTATACCCTAAGAAATCAAAACCTCTTGGATTCCACCAGGGTAACATTCACATCAGGAAAACGTCTCATGGAAGCTTTAACAAGATCTAGCCTACAGCAAACAAAATGCAATAAACAAAGTGACAGCAAATGCTACCAGTGCGATAAATCCTGCATGATCAAAAACATTTGCTACCAATTAATATGCCAAATATGTAATAAGTCCTACATTGGGGAAACTGGTAGGTTTAAAAGAAGTAGAGCCTGGGAACACTACAAATCAGTAAGGGATGGCAACAAATCTACGGCCATGGGGAAGCACTACCTAGAGGAGCATGCAGACATTTCAATGCCAAACATACCGTTTCGGTTTATAGTTCGAAAAAGATGTAAAGACTATGTGGACCGTCAATTGTGGCAGTCGGTTCTAATAAAACGTGAAAACCCAGAAATAAATACTCAATTGTCTGAGTCCGTAAATGAAGGTGATTGGATAAAATATACTTGGAAGTTAATGTAATATTGAACTTATAAACCTAGATAATTTTTGATTAATCAGTTTTATGAAGGAGCTATCTTGGTAAAATGTTTGTAGTACTATGAGGAATTGTTCACGGTTTGTTGCGGTGTGGATTCTTTTAGCCATTATATTTTATGTTTCTTTTGGATAAATTTGTGATTGTTGTTGTGTTTCAAGATGTTATTTTTTTGTTGTTATATTTCGTAGTATTAATAGATTATTTTAACATTGTATCTTTGCAGCTATGTAAGTTTTCAGTACGTCCTGTTTATGACAAAGGCATGTAGCCGAAACGTCGACAAAGAATTATGTTTTAACACACTGAGTGGAGACTCTCATTTCGTCAACTACAATTAAAAATAATTGTTGTTTTTGTTGAAGTTACATATTTTGGGTTCTGATTTTGATATTTTTGACCGTACAATTGTCTTACAAGGGGGGGGGGGGGGGGGAGGGGGGGGGGATACAACGGTCATTAATGTGCATTAATGGGTATAAATGGGCATAAATGGGCATTAATGTGCATTAATGTATATGTATATTTCAGCAAAATTCTATAATACTATACTGCCATTCTATATACTATACTGCCATTAATGCCCATACTTTTTTTCCCATTTTTGCCCATTTTTCTATTAAATATGGGCATTAATGGGCATTTATGTGCATTAATGGGCATTAATGTGCAAAATTTTTAAATACTGCCATTAATGCCCATACTTTTTTTCCCATTTTTGCCCATTTTTCTATTAAATATGGGCATTAATGTGCATTAATGGGCATTAATATGCATAAATAGGCATTAATGTGCATTAATGTATATATGTATATTTCAGCAAAATATTATAATACTGACATTAATGACCGTTGTATCCCCCCCCCCCCCCCTTACAAGGCCCTTTAAGCCTTTTTATGGGCAATAACAATCCCTACTTTTTTATGGAGGGTCGCTTACAGCTTGACTCTAAAGTATAAAATCAGTGACTCAACCCAAGCTTACAGCTTACATGAATAACTAGACCATGATCTTCGACATGACAATATAATATATATTGGGAACCCCATCGATGCCCATGCCTATTTGATCAATATTTGAGGAATAAATGGTTGAAATAGGCATCATTTCTATAATTGTTCGGTCAACATAGAAAAAAGCTGTTTTTAAGCTGATGCCCATTTTATCAAAAGTTGGCGAATAAATGGATAATATTACCACACAATACTGCATATCTTGTCCAATAATTTATAGATTTACCTAAGTTGAATCGCCACCAGATAGATAAAATTAGCTGAAGGTATGCATAAGAGGTGGATAAGAAGTATATCTAGCTCAAAGAAGAAGACAAAGAAGAAGACATGTAATGAATTTGAAGAATTTTGGAAGAATTCATACACGCAATATATCCATGGAATCCCAACGGTCTTCTACAAATCTGAATTGTCAAAAAAACAGGTAAGTTTACAGAATGTTTTCGTTATTATCTGTCAAAATAGAACATGATCTGATAAGCAAAATATTACATATTGTCTCTTCAGATTCGCACAGCTGGATGAAAACGTGCTGTTAGTAAGTTATATCTATTATCAATATAATAATAAAAATAAAATCTGATAATTTCAGAGACATGATAGGCTAGATCCGGTACTTCTTTACGATGACTCCACTTACAACCCAGCAACCAAAGTAAGGTTTGTGTGCACTTCTGACACACACAACCTAACTGAAAGATTCACAAAGCCAGTGCCGTATGGGGACGTGCTTTTACATGCCGGAGATTTCACTCAGGTATCTCTTTATACTTTTATACTTTTAAGTTTCATAATTAATGAATTGGCATCGAACCTCAACCTGTTATCTTTATGTAGCAGAGTGAGACTATTTCCTCCTCAATGTTAAGGTTTCAAATGATTGTAAGACTGAGCAAAGTTTAAGTTACTGTTGACCCTCTGTTTGGAATCAGCTACCGAATGAATTGAGAACTTTTACTGATATTCTATTGTTTAAAAGGAAACTGAAGACTTATTAAAAAAAAATTTGAGTATGTAATGTTATTGCACAGTGAAGGCCGAAGGGTTGTCATATAATTAAAAAAAAATAACAATAATAATAATTTATGAGTCGCTTTGATTTCAAGCCATCTATATGTATAGTTATTGTTATAATCATTATTATATCCAGTGGTGCCATAGATCATTTATTTCCATTTACAGTTACCACAATTTAAGTCCTATATTCCTAATTAATATTAAGTATTAAATTAGCTGAATTCAGAGAACTATCACCTGTCTCTAACGAGAGTTATATTTTGCAGGAAGGAGAAATGTGTCAGGTTGAGCAATTCTCAGAATGGTTGGAGTCTCTCCCTCATCGTATTAAAATTGTTATTGCAGGTTACCAGGGGGGACTTTCTTCGTTTATTTCTGCAATGAGCATAACAATATAGCACGAGCATTTGGTTATTTGTAAAGTTATAAACAACTTTCTTTTATGATCAGAAAAAATCACAACAGTTCAGTTCATGGTTACATCAGATTAATATATTATTATATTATTAATTAAATTATATATTATATACTAAATTGAATTTTTATTTTGTCAGGTAATCACGACTTAACACTTGATGCAGGAAGATTCCCACAGAATCATATTAGAGATGCTTTCATAGGTCGCTTACAGCGGAGCTGTATCTATCTTGAAGACAGTACCGCGATTATCAACGGAATCAAAATATATGGCACTCCATGGTTGGTTTCACGTCATTGGTTTAGATATCATTGTATATTGTGTTTGATAGATGATGCAAGGAAATACTAAGCCCCAGAAAAGTATTTGAAAACACGTTATGTGCTTGATAGCACAATTATCTCTCAATTAAGTTGTCTAATTGTAACATGAGGAATCACAAGTATTACTAAGTAATCCCCGCTAGGATTCCTGAGTATAACGGCAAGTGGGGCTTTGAGTTGAAAAGGGAAGACGAGTGTTCTGCAAAGTGGAGAGAGATACCCTCTGATACTGATATCTTACTGTCCCATACCCCTCCTGTAGGACATGGAGATAGATGTGCTGACAGTTCACGAGCTGGGTAGGTTCACTATAAAGGGGGGGGGGGGGATCATAATTAAGGGGTTCACTATTAAGGGGCCGGCCGCGGGGTTCACTAGTATTAATGTGCTCTTTTTAGATATTTTATATTACAGGACTTTACATTTAGTGAGATTAAAATCAGGTTAAACATTATTCATCAAATTAAAAGTTAAAAATACAGGGTAGGCCAAAAGTCAGTGCAAGTGGGCATGCGTTTTATATTTGAGAGCTGTTGCTTTGCAGATGGCATACTGTACTACACTTATTCGAGGATTCTGTCGCAAAAATTTGAAATTTCGAATATATTAGACCACGCCCATTCAATATTAAAACACCTATATTGTTCTCTTTCAACATGCTGAACGCCTAATTTTTTCAGAGACGGTAGATTATTATTATTATGTTTCATCTGATTTGGAAATATAAGGCAAAATGGATGACGTAAAATGACGAAGGTATCAAGCATTTTGTGTATCTCGTTAACAAAATTGACTGGGTGATTATGTGACACCGTGACACGAAATCTTAATTGGGCAGCCTTAAAGATTCCCATAATGTTCAATGGGGTGGTTAACAGGGTTGAGGGTCACCTTATCACGTGATTAGGTAAGCCAATCACCTGATCACACGTAATGAATAAACTCGTTATACTTCGTATCTCGGTCCACTGAGAAGCTACAACTCTCATTTTTTCAGGACAAACGTTATTCGAATGGCCAAACACAATCCAATAAAAGTTGACTCGATCCGACTATCCAAACCATCAAATAAAGAAATAAATGCGGAAATGAACCTTTATTTGAAAAAAATGAACACTAGTCGAATATTTTTCGATTTGACGAATTCCTCGAATCAGTGGTGGTAGTAAGTCATACCACAAATAATCATTTCAATTGGGCACTCAGTGACAGTGACTGAGCTATTAAGGCCAACGTTTGCACTCTGACTTTTGGCCCACCCTGTATTAGCGTTTAAAATTATTAAGATATCAGAATCAAATTAATTAAACAGTTAAAAAAATATATAAGAAAGTAAAATCATTAATAAAACGCTTTAAAACCCTAAGTACTTAATGGGTTTCATAACTTTCAAACCTAACAAAAAAAACTTTAAGTAAAAAATCATATCGCAATGTCAAGTCAACACTATGAAAGTAATATTTAGCTATATTTTCAGATGTGTAAATCTACTGCAACAGGTACAACTCCGGATTAAGCCACAGTATCAAGTCTTTGGGCATGTCCAGGAAGGTAAAAGTTAAATCTAATCTTGCATCAAACCAATTTAAAGTTCTAGAGATGCTTCTTATGGCTTTATGGGGGAACCCAAGGGGTATTTTGGGGTATTTCGGGTATTATAGGGGACCTTATTATGCCCGGGATTTCCAAAACCTATTAAGGCAAAATACCCCTTGGCTTCACCCTTCTTATATTCTATATTGTTATCAGGTATTGCAAGCTAGCCATCGCCGATGGTTTGTATCACTCCTATCCTGTACTAATCAAGATATAAAAAAAAGTTATTTTATAAAATCGCGGAATCGCAAGAACCATCCAGTCTATGCTTCTAAGAGTCTTTAATTGCTGTGCAAATCAAGGAAGCCTAATGTTGCCCTAGGCTTGCCCCAAGTCACACTCACGTGGTTCTGCAATTTAATAGGCGTTTTCCAGTTTAATTTAACCAATCTTTTCGTCGCACTCAAGACGCAAAAAGTTCATTATAAGAAGGAGGCGCATCACCACCAGCAAAGGAATGTGTTGGAGTTTCTCCACCACTTGTCTGTGGGAACTGCCCTGTAGGTGGAAATTGTGCGTGTGATGGAGGGTAATAGGCTCCATAAGGACCTGGAGGCACGTCTGGGTTGACACTACTTCCAGAAGTGCTGTGAGTCGTTTGTGCAGTGAAGTTTGTTTCAGGTGTATAGTATGATGGAGGAGCACTTGCTGGTGGCGGATAATGCCCTGCACTCTGCTGTCCACCCCCAGCACTTGCTGGTGGCGGATAATACCCTGAACTCTGCTGTCCAACACCAACATTAGTTGGTGGCGGGGGATTTGGTAAACCTACTGTGGTCTCTGCTACTCCTGTGTCCTCCCTATCCGATGGCGTCCCTGATCCGATGGCGTTGATGATCCTGGAGCGTTCAGCTATTTCTGATTGTGTCATTGGTTCTGGCGGTTGATAGGTATTTTGTTTGTGGCAACAGTAACATACGAAAATCAATACAGGTATTCCTGCCAGCAATCCAAAAACTAAGCCTATATTTTTGCTACGGTTCCCACTCCTTCTCCTTGAATCATTATTATAAGTTGATAGTCTTTTCCCGTCTTCGGAGAAGGAAGTTCTCCGTCTTGAATCGTAGGTAGTTTCAGAGCGTCTCCTTGAATCGTAGGTAGTTTCAGAGCGTCTCCTTGAATCATAGGTAGTTTCAGAGCGTCTCCTTGAATCGTAGGTAGTTTCAGAGCGGCGCCTTGAATCGTAGGTAGTTTCAGAGCGTCTCCTTGAATCGTAGGTAGTTTCAGAGCGTCTCCTTGAATCGTAGGTAGTTTCAGAGCGTCTCCTTGAATCGTAGGTAGTTGATCGTCTTCTTGAATCGTAAGTAGTTGAGCGTCTTCTTGAATCGTCGAGGTATGTTATTCGTCTTCTGTCACTGATAAAATTTGAACGATGATATACATTTGAGTACAACATGGGTATTAGGTATATATATACAATACCCATACATATATAATGGGCTCGAAAAATAAAAATATTTTCTCGAATTTTTTCAACTACCCCTACTTTTACGACTTTAAAAAGCAATGTATATGCCCACCGATAGTCATTACCCATGCCCATTTGAAAGGTTTAGGAATAAATGGGCGGATTAGGTGCCCCCCCTCACTAAATAAATGGTGATATATCCTGCCCATTGCCCAACGATCAAGATTGACGATCTTTAAAGTTATAGCAGTAAATTTAAACAGCATGAAGAAAATATTCTTACGTGAAAGTACTGGTACTCCTTCTTCTTGAGTCAGTATAAGCTTCTGATAGACTGCTATCCGTGTAGAGCAATCCCAGTGCTGCTATCACTACTGCAACTACTGCACATCCTGATATATTATTCATCCTGCATATTTTATGGGAATTACTTCCTTTTTTGTAAATAAACTTTCAAATCATAGCAATTACATCGGGCCCTAAGTCAAAGTGCACCTATGTTAAGTGAAGCGATGCTGCAACCAAGGCATGCTAGGTTTAATACAATGGACTGAAAAGGTTACAGCTTAAAACATATATGTCATACAAAATTACCATAAACACTTAAGATTTAAATTAAAAGATAAAGATAATAATATACTCACAATAAAAAATGTAAAATTTACTATATAATATAAATAGTAAGGAAATCAGGAAATTTAAAGTTCTGATTAAAGATTTGTTCGGGGTTAAATAACATTTCGGAAGTTTAGTCAGACCTTAAAAATCTAAAAGTTTTAAAAACACGATAAATTTACCATCAATATAAAAGGATAATTTTAACCTTTAAATTACAGGTATAATACCTTTAAATTATTCCTTTTCTCTTCAGACAGCGGAATTACAACTGATGGTCAAACAATCTTCATCAACGCTGCCATGTGCAACGAAAAGATGAAACCAGTTCTTGATCCTGTCGTGTTTGATATGGACAAAAAGTCAGAGGAAATGCTTCTGGTGTCTTCCACTTCTCAGTGGAATGTATTAGATCCCAGACAAAAACAGACTACCTTTTCGAATTCAATTTGTCGCATGTGTGGCCATGATAATAATGACTCATCACGTCATTGATGAAATGGTTGAGAGGTTTTGTTTCACAATTGTGGCACAAGTTTTATGTGCATTCACTATTTCGCCAAGAGAAAGATTACCTGATTTCCTTCGGACTAAATAGATATGCTGACATAGGACTAGGCAATGACAAGAAGTTAATTTCAAAGATATGCTCACATTTTATCTTTATCAATCATTTTGTTTGATAGATTGCCTGAATCAACAGATTTTGTATTGATATTTGATATTCAGAACTAAAGACGCGATGTTTTCTTTGCTCTGTCAGATAGAAAATTAAAAGAGATTAATAAATTTATTGATTTTAAGTCAACATACATCGATTTGCCGGAGTTTGTGACTTATAAATGTATTAAATTCCCCAACCCCCCTGGGCCTGGTCAACTAGAATCCTGATAAACTGATATATCCTGATCCTAGCCCCTTCAGGCACTAACAAATGTCTAGTATTTTAAACTAGTCGACCTTATACACAATTACACATCACACAACAAGAATATATTATATAAACGTCCCCACAGCAGAAAAATAGCACAACAAAATAAGATTTTCATAAACACTAAAGTCCACTTTTCAAACACTAAAATAGTTCAACAATACAGTACAAAATTATACCATCTACTAAACTGATATAATACATTATATACATTATATTATATTTGATCCTAATTTACAATAGCATTATAAACTACTGTATGTACATTTTACATCAATAATTAAAAGCAACGCATACCTACATTGATAACTGAGAATTCAGAGTACGTAAATTCCCATTCATATCAAGAAAACGATTCGGACAGATAGAAATATCATTAACTAAACTATCGTGTACGAAATCATGCGTAAAAAATTAAACGAGAAAACATAAAGCACATAATATTTCACATGATTATTTCTTTCGTGGATCTGATAAGTTCCATTCAGCAGGAGCAGACACGAGAATAGTTTCCTCAGAAATCTTATCCATTTCAAAGACAACAGGATATTGCTCGGGTTTGTATCTTAATGTACACATTGAAGCGTTGATGAAGGTCGTTTGTCCATCCGTTGTGACTCCTGCATCTATTGAAGGATTTATATATCATATTATGAAAAATACCTACAAGGTATGTTCCTAGTATCTACCTTATGATATATCTACGAATACAAGCAATGCATAGAAGAAAAACTTCAAATCAATTTTAGTGTTGTTAAAAATTATTGCTAGGACATGGTAGTGACAGTTGATAATTATTTACCTTCGTGAATGTGTCCAAAAATATGATATTGAGGCTTCACTCGGAGCTGAATTTCTTGAAGTAAATCAACACAACTGAGAGGTAGAAAAATGTCAAAGATGGCGAAGTAGTTAAAAACATTGTTTTTGGTAATAAAGTTACGTAGTTACATTACGTCATGATATGTATCTAATTACGTGGAGGAAACATTATATATCCAAGTTGAAACTGCAATAAACGTACCCAGCCCTGATGCCGTTGCGGACCCTGTCTCCGTGTCCAATAGGAGGGCCATGTGTTATCAGAATGTCAGTGTTATCAGGAATCTCCTTCCATTTCGCAGCACATTCCTCACCTCTCTTTAGGTTATAACCCCAGTTTCCAAACAAAGGTTGCCTGGGGTGGGTACCTGAGTACGGGCATTTCGTGCACTGACAGCATGATACATTGTACTAACTAATCTATTAGTAAACAGCAAAATATGTTGTATTCTAGTAAACAGCAAGATACATTGTACTGACTAATCTACTGGTAAACAGCAAGATATGCTGTACTAACTAATCTACTAGTAAACAGCAAGATATGTTACATTATACTAAGTAATCTACTGGTAAACAGCAAGATATGGCCGATAGAAAATGTTACATTGTACTAACTAATCTACTAGTGAACTACTACTAGACTTCCATATTATTACGGTGTAGTGCTGTGATTTATTATAGTTTGTGGGCAACAGATTAATCGTTAACGAAATACCGTTTACATATTTTGTAAATGCCTCAAAATCAACTAACCAGGGAGACCCGAATATCTTGATGCCACTGACAACAGCACTGTTGTCTTCCAAGTAGGTACAGCTCTTGTGCAGTCGACCAATTAGTCTTTCACGAATGTTGGGATCAGATGCGGTCATTGGATCAAACGAGAGTTCGTGATTTCCTGTGGAACATAAAAATAGGGTAATTATATTATATGTGTTAGAGTGGACTAAGGAGATGTTGATAACAATGTAAGATTTTTGGAGTACTTAATTTTAACAATCGCATTCACATGACTAAGGTGTAAAACTAACATTCACATTCTTAACCGTAGTCATATTCTTAACCGTAATAAATAAAAACTCGTCGATAAATCATTATTATAAATAACCAACAATCCAACCTGCGATCACAATCTTAATAGGATGAGGTAGTGTGTCCAGCCAATCTGCAAAATGTTCAACCTCCTTCACACATCCGACCTGACTTACATGACTATTTAACATTAAATAACAACCATTCTATATACATTTAGGAGCAATCGTTCGTAACATCGAATAAGACTAGAATACTTAAAAATTCGGGGGTTTTAAGCACTTTTCAATAAAAGTCAACATAACAATATAAATTATAATAATTATTACGGGTTAAAACCTGGGTAAAGTCGCCGCCATGTATCAGAACGTCTCCATCAGGAACTTGAAAGTTATACCTATCCGTTTGGTTGTGAGTATCAGATGTACACACAAATCTTACTTTCGTGGCAGGATCGTAAGTGGAATCGTCAGAAAGTGAATGTATATCTCGTCTGTCTTGTTTCTGTAAGATCATTTTATCTTGCTTGATTAACATATTATACATATGAATAGGAATATTTTATGCTTTGAATTTAATTTTTAACATACCGTAACACATCATCTGTTATCAAATCGAAGGTTTAAAAGACGGAAAATTCACTTAATTTTCTCCATAAGTCACCTGAAATTTATTAAGAACCTCCTTATAGAACCTAGTAGGAGAATCTGCGTGTATACTCGTACACTCGCTCCAAAAAGTCTCAAATGCTTCAGGAGAAATTGCACCCTGTCCAATTCCAGTCATATTTGTAACCCACTGTTTCGCTGCACTGAACATACGAATTTCCCCTTTCAATCATGAAGCTGGTAATGATATAGACTGGTTCAGAACTTTAAAATATGTAAGGGGAGTCTGTTGTGTTTCTTATGATATTAAATTCAGATGTTATTCTGGAATAATCTGACATTGAAATTTACGTTTTTCATAGCACAATCCCGAAATTTAGTCGATTTTTGAGACTTCGAAAAATAATATAATAGTGATATCAGTTTTTGAGTAACAGTATTTAATCATTACAAAAATCAAATTAAATACAAGAAATTTCGATACAGAAATAAAAAGCTTTCGGAATTATCGTTATCTAATTACAGACAATCTGATTATTAATGAACTTAAATCTTAATCAACATTCAACTCTTCTTTAATTATTTAGTATAGATTCCAATCTAAAATAAAGCCTAAAACGTCCTAATGCACAATTAAATATTGTGAACAGATCTTTATTCAGAATAATACAATATCCGGAATTTTGGCATGTCCGCCCAGGTTGGATTGTGGATTCTACCAAGCAAGAGTACACGGCCTTATATGTTGGACAGAGCCTTTTCAAGACACCACCTGAAAAAGCATCTAATCTTGAAGAGATCTCTCTTGTACTTGTATGAGATGAGTTATTAAATCTGTTGAGGTCTTCATTTTCGAATATAACAGATGTATCACAAAATTTGGATATTGAAACTTTCGCAGATTCTGTTCCCAACTGCAAAGCAGAGTATTCCGAAACCTTCTTCACATTCATATGTTCCATATCAGGTGTGTACGTTACAATGACGATCGGACATTCTACCTGGCCACCAGAGGACACGAACAAACCTGGCTGTATCAAGTTTTTCCTCAGTGATTTTGTTAAAACAGTTGGAATCTTATGAAATGTTTCTGCGAGACTAGGGGTAAATGAACCCAGAGACTCCCGTATCAAGAGATGGTTGGAGGAGAAGTAGAGAAAGCATTTTATCCAACTACCACCAGGAGAAAGCATCGCAATTGGGCGATCAAATGCTCCCTGTTCAGGGTCCCATGTTAGTTTCAATTTACCAGCAGAGACAAGATATGGATACTGACCGTACGCTCCACAAATTAGTTTTATCCTTTGTCCTATCAGTCCTGTTTCAGCTATTTTTATTTGCATCACACCTGATGGGTCGTTCTGCCAGATACCAATCAGTTTCTTGTGGATTACCAGATCATAATACATCATCTTGGATCTTTGAACTTGAATTTTTGAGAAGTCTAACACAGGAAATTCGTGCACTGACAAATGAAACCACACGCTGTCATCAAAAATAAGACATCTAAAATACTTTGACACTAATGCAAATTGAGAAAGATCTTTTGCTTGCAGATTTTTAGCGATTCGTACCAACAATTCGTAAGGTAAGTTTTCAAGTAATACCAAGACCATGATGCCATGATGAACGAACGAGTGTGTACATGATATTTAAACGGTGAGTATCAACAATACGGCATTACATCATAATACGCCTAGTTAACAAAACTAATTATAGATACAATCCGTGTGTTATACAGACATTATTATATATATATAATAATATATACAAGCATTACAATGTATTTGCTATAAATAGTGTACACTTATCAAAATAAAACACATTTCGTCAATATCAGGCTATGTACATACTGAAACAATATTCTGTTACACTGCATAAACAACTAACAGATAGTTTAGACCTGTTTAGGTGCATATTCTTAAGGGTCACCTTAGAATTGGGGGTCATCTAGGGGGAGGGGTCACGTGCTCAGGTTTATTCAGGTTAAGTCAACCAAATTATTAAACCTATTTTTACCTATAACTATAAGTTGCACACGATTGCAGAAATTTGCAAACGTCGATTTCTTGTCTATTCATCAGCTGCTGAAATATTACCAATTTAACTTTAAAATGCTCTAGTATGAACATTGAACAGCAATTCAAACGGTGAAAATTTCAAACGGTGAAATGTCCTATTCATTGGGAGCTGATTCTGCAAATACCTTCAAGATGATATGGAGGAGGCTCCAAATCATAGTCCTCGTTATTCTTCTCAGGAAGATCGAAAACATAAGCAGGTTGTCTTGCTTTGTAAGAAATATCACAGATAGCAGCATTAATGTAAGTTGTAGTTGTATCTGTGTAAACTCCATTACCTGAAAGTGGTTAATTCATTTTTCCATTAATTTTAGGGAACTAGCCTTCCACTTACTGCAGCTCTAGCCACTATGAGAAATGTGAACTAAACTTACAAACAAACTTCGACCACATAATTTACATTTTCACCCGTTTTAGTAAGTAGTAATATGAAGCAAACCTTTTAAAACCTGGGACGAGCTAAATCTGGTGCATTGTATCGTTTTTCACGATTTATAATTAAAGTCAATTTAATAAGCTAACTTGTTATTTAAATCATAAAAAGTTAGTTCCTACCTTCATGGATATGACCAAAGCAATGAAAGAGGGGTTTGATTCTATTTTGAATTTGATCAAGTAAATCAACACATCCTGCATAGTCGCCATGCTTGGTTAAGTCCCCAACAGATACCGGAGGTCCATGAGTCAGCAGAATATCGGTGTTACTTGGAATCTGGGTGGACAAATTATGATAGGAATCATTTGTTATTATATAATATATTATTGTTCATTCGGTCATTCGGCAAATTTTCTTTGAAACAAAATGATGTATTTGTGTAAAAATTTGGAAGTTTATTGAGTAAACAAATTTGCTTTATTTCATCATTTATTTTAGCTATCGGTTCGTTAGTTTTCATGTATTTTCTATAAAAACTGTGTATTTTTCCACCAACTATAATCACGAAAAGATGTATTGTTTACCATGTCCCATTTAGTTCTGATACTTTTTCCTCTTTGCTTCTGAAAACCTCCTAAATGTACTGGAGTCCTAAATGGTTGTATAATGTACTAATGGAGATTGCTATTATAATGAATAATGAATATCGGTTCTTTTGCGATAGTCAAAACGCGACAACTAGCGCTGGATGGCGACAACTAGCGCTATCCAGCGCTAGTTGTCGCCATCCAGCGCTAGTTGTCGCTATCCAGCGCTGGATAACGCTGGCCAGTGCAAAATATATATGTTCGATAATTGTCGCTATCCAGCGCTAGTTGTCGCCATCCAGCGCTAGTTGTCGCCATCCAGCGCTAGTTGTCGCTATCCAGCGCTAGTTGTCACACGCGATAGTTTGCGATGGCCAGCGCAACTGGCCATCGCAGAAAACAGTTCGATAACTAGCGCTGGATAGCGACAACTAGCGCTGGCCAGCGCTAAGCGATAGCCAGCGCTGGCCAGCGCTGGCCATCGATATCCAGCGCAAAATTTTTGCGCTATTACTCGTCAGCTAGCGCTGGCCAGCGCTGGCCAGCGCTAGCCAGCGCTAGTTGTCGCTAGCCAGCGCTAACCAGCGCTAGCCAGCGCTAACCAGCGCTAGCCAGCGCAATGTATCAAAATCATATACTTGCGATATTAGTCGGATGATGATTAATCACTTTACACTCGACTGTCATTCTCTGACTCTAGCTGGTTCTGAACGACTTTTCGAAACCTTAACCCTCTAATCTGATCCCAACCCTAACCCTAACCCAATCCTTAACAAAAACATATGCTGAAACCCTAATAATAACGAGAAATTAGACTAACTTCCTTATACGGTCATATCACGTGATCGATACATGTACAGTTTTTCGCCAATATCTCGTCAGGAGAGCATTTTAACCATATGTCATGGGCCCATGGGGGTTGATTCGGAATTAGCGTCCGAAAATACATCGATTGAAGTTGGTTACAACCATCGGGGGCCCTTTTAGAACAACCTCGAAGATCGACTGTAGAGTGATTTAGCACGCTCGATATTGGTATTAGTATTACTCGTCAGCCAGCGCTGGCCAGCGCAATATAGTTGCGATATTACTCGTCAGCTAGCGCTGGTTAGCGCTGGCTAGCGCTGGTTAGCGCTGGCTAGCGATGGTTAGCGCTGGCTAGCGATGGTTAGCGCTGGCTAGCGATGGTTAGCGCTGGTTAGCGCTGGCTAGCGCTGGCCAGCGCTAGCTGACAAGTAATAGCGCAAACATTTTGCGCTGGATATCGATGGCCAGCGCTAGTTGTCGCTATCCAGCGCTAGTTGTCGCTATCCAGCGCTAGTTATCGAACTGTTTTCTGCGATGGCCATCGCAAACTATCGCGTGCGACAGTGTCGCATAGCCAGCGACAACTAGCGCTGGATAGCGACAACTAGCGCTGGATGGCGACAACTAGCGCTGGATGGCGACAACTAGCGCTGGATAGCGACAATTATCAAACATATATATTTTGCGCTAGCCAGCGTTATCCAGCGCTGGATAGCGACAACTAGCGCTAGTTGTCGCCATCCAGCGCTAGTTGTCGCGTTTTGACTATCGCAAAAGAACCTGAATATCCTACTGTGGCCACTGTATTTAATTATTGATCTCATTGGTTGTTAATTAATCAGGCATTCTGATTTCCATGCATGAAAGTATGAAATTTAAGCAAAAATATAATAATTGAATATATCTTGAACACAAAGTAACAGTATGCCAAATAATTAAGAAAAACAAAATTTTAATAATGGTACAAAAACATGGTAATGCAATGTTTGAGTTAGCAAACTTACCATGGTGATCCATAAATTGTATAACCATGCACATTAATACTTTCGTCTTCAATGTAAGTATAATTGGTAAACTCTTCCAATAACTCTTCCCTGTCAGAGGCACCAAACTGTAATGCAAGAAGTTACATTTTTAACTACCTTAAATATTCTTTGAATACATTATCTTCATCTCGAGCCTCTAATATCATAAAGTATAGACTTAAATCAAACAAAGCTTGAAACAAAAGAAAAGTAAAAATCAAAAGAATACTCAGAAGTCAGAACTTACTACATTAAAGAATGTATTTAAAGGGCGAAGTTCCAAGAACCTATCATGGTTTCCTGCAATCACAATCTTCTTAGGATGAGGCAATGCTCCTATCCACTCATTAAATGACACAAATTCCTTTTTAAAGCTTCTTATTGTAGCATCTCCACAATGCAACAAAACGTCACCATCAGGTATATCAGTCCTGAAACAGAATAGTGTAAATAGTGACTCTCTTACAGTTACATGATTCAACTCATATCCATTGAACCATTCAGGAAAACAAATTTATAAGAAAAACAAAATTTAAATATAATAAATATATCATAATAAATATAGGTAAAAATTTGATTTATACAAACTTAATTTCAGGACCAGCACAGCCAAATGCCTGAACATGCTCGCCTGCCAAAAGAACCAGCAAGACTGGTCAATCGGAAGTAAGCATGTTATTTGCAAATTTGTGTCAGGAATTCAAAGTGTATCATATCAAGAGGATCAGTTCAATCTTAAAAAGAATGACTGTGGTTAGGAAGAATTTCAGTCACATGCATCTGTTACTTTAGAAGTTGACTGATATCTAAAAATAGAGCAACGAAAAAATTCAGGATAAAACCCATCTCTTGATAAGAAGGCGTCTGTAATCTGATGAAATGTGCATTTATTCTGTATCTACAAATTTTCAAGCAAACGAAACCATGGTTATTAATACCACGTAAAACTATCTTCATTTTGTAATACTCACTCGATAGAGGTTCGATTATGAGTATCAGAAATAACCACAAAGCGTTTGAATCCTTCTCTTTTTGGTTCCAGACCTATAAATTGAGTCACAGTCATAAAATGAATGATACATCCCAGCACGATTTAATGAACACTGTTATGAAGATCATGCATATGGTAACAGGTCGTGAAATCTCTGTTGTGATTACTAATTAGTTTTATCAATAACGTGATGATATTTTTTAATTGCGATAAAAATACATTGCATTGGAAACACATACCTTGATACAAGCGGTGATCAAGTTTTTTTATAGAGTTAGGTGATCCTTGTTGATAGAATTTTACAAACTCATCAGGAGCATTTGATAGGGATTTTGGTAGGAGACGATATTTGCACCACGTTTGTAACATTTTATATGGCAAGGGCATAGGTCTCCCATTGGTTTAACAAATTCATTACCTACAGGCAGGTGGCCCACAAATAAACTCCCAAAACGTCATACCCTGAATGAACATGCTTTGAATATTACAATGGGAAAAAAATACTCAATTGCATAAAAAGTAAGCCCACCAGATCGATCCTCATAAAGCACATTCTGAAAAAATTTTTCATTCTACTATGGTAGACTATCAGACCAAAAGCGAAGAGGAAGCTAGCCCAATAATCTACCTGGGGCTTGATTGTGTGACTGAAGTTCACATATTCTTCTCCCATGTCACACAAGGAAAACAAAATTTTAAGTAAAACAAAACTTGAATTTTATTGCCATTACAATGAATAATAATATAATAATAAATATATAAATAAACATCCGATAATGAACTTGTTAGAACCAGTATAGCCCAATATGCTCTACTAACAAAAAACAAGAACTTGCAGGTTCAATGTTCATGGTCCTTTGAACACGCATACAACACAAGCCATAGCGATCTAGCTACAAGCCTAGTTCAAACATCAATCACGGTTTTCATGGCTATGAGAATGAGATGACTAAACAGAAAAAGTGCCAATTGGAATAAGGAGCCCTTAGCTGAAAGTATATGACATTTGCAAACTAAGTGTTTGTAGCGCGATGCACTACTGGGCCGCGCCGCGCATCCAATAATGCTTCTCGCAACCACATCTCTTCGCTAGGTCGGCGAGATGCACCACTGGGCCTCGCCGAGCTGTGAAGGATTGACATCGTGAATCAAACTAAGTGTAGGATGCATGACAATGTTGGATGTAGCGATGTGACCCAAACCGGCTACCTTTATCTTTTTGCAGGCAAGGTAGATGATGTAGCTTCTGGTGAAAATATTTCAGATAACGATTCTCTCATGGAAAATGAGCTTACATAGTAGCTAGGAGTGGCCATGTGTCATTACACTTGCTACATTGCAGCAAGACCCTTACCGGTTGATAATTGCAAAATATTTGTTCCAACTCGGCGCGAGTCTTATTAAGGTTATTAACCTGCAACAATAGATGATAGGTCTTAGCTTTAGAAAACAAATGTCCACACACACTGTCACACATGTTTCGATAATTTGTTATAATAAGGTTATTTTTTTTTACATACTCCTTCTTAGTGTGGTGACTTGGGGTCCATAAATATAACAATACAAGCTGATAAACCAAAAAGAACAACTGGGGTAGGTAGGTAGCCGTGGTGGTGCGTAAACTTTACGGTCTGCTCTCTCCAAGACAACTCAATAGCCCAAGTCACCATACCTGTAGTATATTCCATGGTAATAGAAGAACTTTAAAGTTTTTCAAATTGTTGCTATAATTGATTTAAATAAAAATTTGTTGTTTTCTTGAAAAATTTGTTGTTTTCTTGTTATTATAAATTACAGGCTAGGTAGTTTGAGTCCCGCTTATATATCCCACTATAAAAGCAATTATTGGCACTCGAGTCCTTGATCTTGCCGATGGTGCACTGGGCCTTTTGAGCTGCCGTCCTTCACCCAGCAGACCTAACTGGCTGGCGATATTACTACAGGTGATTTGCACGCTTCAAACATTCCAAGAATGCAATTGCACCACGTACCATGCACGTGATACGATTCAGCCAATCAGAGAACAAGAATCCGCAAAGTTAAAGCTGCGCACTTTTACCAGGCCCAAAATATGACTTTTCGCGATAATTCAAAATCTAGGTTGTCCCAAATTGTGCTCCTGGGGAATAATAATAATAATAATTCTATACTGTTACATAATTTAAAAATTATGGCCCCTTATTGTGGGCAGAGTATGTGTCTTTATTTTAAGTGTCCTGATTTAAAAATCATCTGAGTGACTGCATTGAAATAATTTAAGGAGAATACCATAAAAACGTTAAAACAAAAGGAGTAACAACTAGAACATACTTATATTAATATCAACATTAGAACAAAATACAGTCACCTAATTCTCTTCTCCTAATTCTCTTCTCCTAGCTGGGGAGCTAACTTTAGTTTTACGGGACGAACATTTTGTTGAAAACCAGACGTTTCTATTTCTTTTATTTTCGAAGTTAGGCCCCTACCAGTAAGGTTTCCTGCAGCTTCTGTCAAACTGAAATTACTATTTTTTTAATCTCAACTCTTATTTTACTTCGGACATTCCAACAGCCACATTGTTACACAAGTGTGTAACCAGCCAATTACAGGAAGCCGAAGGATTCAATTATACATTAGGCCAGTGACGGTTAAGGTAGTGTGTACCATACTTTCTTCGCCCGAGACTTTGCTGCAATGGGCAGCTCCTCATTTAACCCTCACACCCGATTTCTCGAGTATTTGGCTGAGTGGACCGGGGGGCTGCATAGACCACTCAGGATCCTTAGCTGAGCGTCGACGACGCTCACCCCACAGCTAGTGACAGAGTCGGGAATCGAACCTGGTACCTCAAGCAATACCAGGCCCGGATTAACCAACTGAGCCACTAAGCCGAAAAAGTGAAACAAATTTTTTTTTTTAGTGAAACAAATTTAAAATTTTATCCTTTATTTTACAATCATAATATAATAATATTTATAAGCCTCCGTTTTGAAAGTTTTAAATTTTAATATATTCACATTTCTATTTAAAATTCAATTTAATGTATAAGTCAATAACCGGCCGCTAAAGCCGCGCATTCTTGAAAACAGGATTAAATTGTTTATGATTATACGACAAATAAAAATAAATTTAAAACTATCCGTGGTTTTTTTAAAAATAAATTATAATCTTACCTAAATCTAAAGCCAGCTTTGTAAAATTTACTATTAGATCATAATATATCGTCAATTCTAAATATTTACAATGCAACATTTCATTAATCTACATACAAGCGTACTCCAGCCCCTGCACGCATCCGTTCTTATGCAGCGCGGCTCAAGCCGCGCACGCACGTATTATTTTATACTTTTTGCTTTCTAATAAATATCGTGTCAATGTGTATGTCTAAATGTTTATGTTTTGTGTAAACCGAATCCAATTGAGATTAGTGACAAGGATAAGGACCCAAGTGCCTGTACGGCTTTTTCGGACCCCTGTGGACCACTACTCTTGAAATCGCTCTACAACTATTGAACATTTATAACTGTTATATAATATATAACGTCATTTGACAATTATTATCATTAATCTACAATCTAACTGTCTTGCTGAGGGGGAGGAGTAAACGCTTCACAAACTTAAATACTTACAACATACAAAATTTAAAACCATCAACACGGTTATAGTTAATATCAAGGGCCAATTTGGTATACCTCTATTTCGTTGTAATATCTAGTATAGTATATCTTCACATCTTAATACTATAATGAAATACAATAGGATACATGTTTCGAGAAAGAAAGGTTGGTTCGATTATTAACAAAAGTAAACAAAAGTCCATCATGGACTCCACGGAGTCGAAAAAGGTACACGGCTGCTGTCTGGTGCTGCTAGGCATTTATTGATCAAGATGTTTTATTGTATTGGTGTTTTATGGTTCTATTGTTCGTGACTTATCAAGTTCTAGGTGGGGGTATAAAGTGCTGCTTAAGATACTTCGTCATCTCATGTCCAGTATAATGAATAAGATAGTAAACAATACAGTTTCAGTAGTTGACCCATACAGTTAAGTCCGTCATTACTCACAATTGTTTAATCATCTGTCAATTGTCTAAGTCGTTGTGTGTTTAGTCGCTGAGTTAGCAGTAAGATAAGTTGTTACGCGCGCACGCGCGCGTTTAATCCCGTCGACGTGAGATGTGACAATGAAAACGCTACAGAATTATTGTTTTCGCGCGTTACGTAGAATTTACTAGTGTGTAATACTGGTTAACACTGGGTGTACACTGAGTGTAAGTCGCTAAGTTTCATATACGAGCCGTTGAATATTTCCAATTTTGAGTGTATCGTGAGCATGTTTTACAGTGCAATTGTTCGGTACTAGTGTGTTTGTGTGTATTTATATATATATCATCTGTGGAGTATGGTGTGTGGACTGTGGTAAATAATGTGTTTAGTTGGAGTGTAGTGGTTGTATTTATGAGGAAAGATAAGTGGTTATTTTAGTAACTCACATTAATCAAAACTTGAGCTCATTTGTGGCAAAATTAAGCTCACACCAATCAAGTGTATCATGCTTGAATTGCAATTCTTGTAAAGCAATTTTCAATGTATTCTTAAACCTGTTTGTCGGAGTATTAAAACTTATCTTACTTGATGTTTGTCGACAGCTGTTCCACATGTAGGATGATTGGTAGATGAATTGTGAGGATGGTTGTGATGTGATGAAATAATCCTCTCGTCGTGGTGAACTGTTAAATGATGAGTACAGTGATAATGGTTCCTCTAACTTATTAATTTTGAATAGTTCTAAGAGACAAGTGTACTTATACAGGTTTAATCCAAGTCGAGGCAATCAGCCGACGCGCGGCTTTTATGGTTATCTCTGATATGCATATAATCTGTAATAAAATTTGTATTCCTTATCACTTATGCCATCACAATATTTGATCTTAAAACGCTTTTATTGTAGTGCAATAGAATTTTGCGCTGCGTATTAAATATTGTAGGTTTACAACCTACCAGGACGCGCGCCGAGTTTGACTTGTCGACGGCCCAATATATGGAACAGACATTTTACGAGTATCGCACCCGTTAAATTTAATAATACTTTTTGCCATCATTTTACACTTAAAAGATGATACAATTTTAAACAATTTTTAAAGTAACGCGCGCAGCTTTCTTTTCGAAATATACATTATCCAAGAAAGGTACTTTGGCGCGGCGAGCACTGACCCGCTTTGCGTCGAGTCAGTCTATTAACAATAAACAAGCGGTATATTCAATACTAAGCTTCACATAGCCATGTGCATACGCGTACTGCGTGACGCGCTTGTTTCACAGGTAGAAATCTTCGGCGGTCGCGCGCTTCTGCTAGCGAGAGGGCTCTGGTTAGAGCAAATACTAAGCCACCATAATATTATGAATTCAAATTTTTAAACTTTCTGGGAGTTGAATTTTTTTGAGAAACTTGTTTCCGAGATAATATCAGTTGACCAACAACTTGATTCACGATGTCAATCCTTTGCATTTCGCCGATCTGCATGTGGTTGCGAGAAGCATTATTTGATGCGCGCGCGACCCAGTTGTGCATCGCGCTACAAACCAACAACAAACAATAAATAAATCGAAACCAGCGCGACCAAAATTTGCCACCTTCGGCGGTCGCGCGCTACTGCAAGCGAAAGGGCTCTGGTTAGAGCAACAAATAGCCCGAGGCTAGTGCGCGCCGCGTTAGTCTGATCCATTAACAATGGACAAGAAAATGACAGGACTTCAAATACATTATTAATTGTGAACTTAATGAAGCTTGCTAGTTTTTTTGCTTGCTCAGTTTCTATTCACAAGAAGCTTGAAAAGATCGCAGCGCAAAAGCGCCCCGGCCTGGTAATCGTGAATTTAAATATAATATATAATTGGTTTTAATTGATTTTAAAAATTTCATAAACAATAAAAAGGCTGATTAGTTGTTCCAAATTATATTTTTTGCACTAAAATGGTCTTACTGGGCCGCGCTCAGCCTGTCATTCCGCCGAATCTCTATGTTTATGAACATGATAATAGCCTGAGGTCCCCAGGTAAAAATGGTCATACTCAATACTTTTATTTTTTTTGACATTTAAAGCTATCAAAGTATAATATTCTCTATTGTCCATGTCAATATTTATCTTTTTGTTCACCTCTATTGATGTGATCACCTTTGCATCAGCTTCTTCTCAAGATTGATGATCCAAAATGCTTTTAACGTTACAATTTTTGAACACTCTTAAATTGTTTTAGTGCTTAGATCAAATTGAAATTAATTGCGATTGTTTGTATATTATAGTTCATTGTAATTGCTAATTGCTATCTTATCCACTAACAAAATATTATCCGTATTTAACTAAGTCTCATTCAAATTGCCGTCGATTCTTCTGTCGACTAACGTTGTCCTTGATATATATATATATTTCATGGCTGGACTTCTACACAATAAAAGAAAGCGGTTGTGATTAGATCTTCGAAAGTCTTTGCATCGTTTATTTACATCAATTCTCAAATTATTTGTTATATAGTAGTGTTGAAAGTATTATATATATATATATTTTGTAGCTGTACTCCTACACATTAAAAGTCGGTGTTGATTAGATCTTCGAAATAAGTCTTTGCATCATTTTATTAAACATCGTTATCTCAAATTATTTGTTATATAGTAGTGTTGAAAGTATTAAAACTCTATATTATATATATATATATATATGTTACATGTAAGCGTACCAACTAAAATTAAACTGCCAATAACTTCATTTAGCCGCTTTAAACAGCTAGAGCTTGCCCAATTACCATTACCAGCAGATGGATTCCACAATTGTACACAATATTCAATTTGAAGTACAAGTGTTATCAAGGATTTTATATTTGCTAATGAATAGGAGTTCTATCCCTCACAACCTAATTTCGTACCATTCGATGTCAGATTTTGACGATTTAATCAGCTGGTCCCATTTTAATAATGTATATAATATAATATAACAATAAATAGCAACTGAACCCCTTCCTTAGGATCAAATTTGAAAATTCAATTGTTTTAGTCTTCGCCCATTCCATAAAATTTGCAATAAGTTCAGTTTGCTGTTACCGCGTAGTTTACCTTTGCGTGTGTACTTGTACATTACTATACAAGTACACTATGGGGGATGACCAAACTTTGACCCGATCCCAGGAGTTGATTAAGGAGTTCAACTATGATCAACAGGAAGATGTGGAAGGCTGTGTTGCACGCTGGTCCGATCAGTTAGAAAAAGACCTGCATATGGACTACCGTGAAATTGACTACGAAAGTCGTGAAAAGATCAAGACTAAGGATAAACAGACTCTGTCGCGCTGGGTTGTGGATGCAGTGGACCTTGTTCGTCGGCAGAGTAGTCAGATGTATCTCTTGAAGGAGATCATCGAGTGCTTCAAGACGGAAGCACTAGCAGACAAAGAAAAGGTGATCAGACTGCAGGGCCAGCTGCTGATGCAGAAGGACGAACAATTACAGTTGCTTAAGACGCCTGTTGAGGAGACAGTCCAAACAACGGTGGAGTCAGGGATTCAGAACTATAGTGCAGCTGTTCAACAGAACAGTGCAAGTGGTACGGTCTGCAACAGTAAAATCCTGAAGAAGGTGATGAAGAGTGTGGCTGCAGAGGAGGACAGGAGCAAGAACCTGATCGTGTTTGGGCTGAAAGAAGAGGAGGAAGAACAGCTTCCAGCGCTAGTTACCGCAGTTTTGGAGGAGATCGGGGAGAAACCTCACTTCGAAGCGACTAGAGTCGGTTGGAAGAGGCCAGGTAGTACGGCTATCCGACCAGTCAAGATCACCGTCCCAAGCTCAACAGCGGTTCATCAGATTCTGATGAAAACAGGGAGACTGAGGGAGACGCACAAAGATGTATGGATATGTCCAGACAGATCCAGCGAAGAACGAGCAACAAGGAAGCATCTGGTCACTGACCTGAAGAAGAAGAGGGCGGAACAGACTCATCTCGACCACTACATCCGGTACGGGAAGGTATGTAGCCGTGATAAGAAGTCATCATGAGTTACACTCTCGGACACTGATCAGTATATGAAGGAGTGATGATTATTTTAAGAATTTTCAGACGTTATCTGTATTTAAGAGACAACTATATATTTTGAATATTTTATTATTTGATTGTTTCACACTTTTCATATTTCATAATTTTATCACTAGGTGGAGGTGATGTTATTGAGACTTTGGGCGGCCATAAAACTCCTGTTTTGAAAGTTGTCCTCTGTACTTGTTTCACTGACCCACGCTTTATAGCATTTATACATTTCGGCCCATTTTATATGTTTGTTCGACTTGCTGTACATTTGTATATTTGCTATTTTGTAAAAGTTTCAAATCAAATCATATTTGATTGCTTCTACTTATCTTTAAGAACTGGAAACCCCATTTTTTATGGTCTAAACGTAATGAGGAACTTCACCTAACCATATGCTTTTGCGCCACTGCGGGCGCGCTTGTTTCACAAGTAAAGAGGAGGCGGGCGCGCGTCACTGCAAGCGCAAGGGCTCTGGATAGAGCAATGAGGATCTGAAGTTAAATGACGGAGGTATCAAGTATTTTGATTATCTTGATCAATCATGTGATTTGACACCCTAATTGGGTTCTTTACATACCTGATTGATTACTCTCAACTAATGAAGAAGCATATTATGCTTGACAGTGTAATCTGAATAACACAATGAGACTCAATTCAATCAATTGAAATAAAGAGTGCAAAAAATGAACATTTTCGTATTTGATTTGATGTTTAAACCCTCAATGTGTGATGATCATATATCAGAAAAATGATCTACTTGACTGAGTCATCAGCCTATACTTTAGGGTAGTCATTTTTTATGACCACAAGGCAATTTTTAGATAACAAGTATTTATGACATGACTAGACAACAAAAACAAAACGATATGTTTGATCTTTTCAAGCATAAAATGACAATACCCATCCAAAATCAATTTTCGTATTATATCTCCAATTGAATACAATATTTGTACCATGCAATGCTAAGAATGACACATATTAGCATTTGTGGTTGTATATTTTGAAACATCGTAACTATCAAATTGTAGTTTTAAGAGTTTAATTTATGAGGTATGATGTGACTTTACCGTTACAAATCCAGACTTGTCCAAACTTTGCTGGTTTAAGTTTTAGATTAATTTATCTATTCTACTCCCTAGAAAAAGTGCAGGTGAAACTGCAAAAAAATCCTGCTAAAAGATGAGCACTATGCTATATTATTATATTACATTAGTAAATGTACACTATGGCTACAATTTCTTTTCCCCAACTATAACAACGTGTCATGGCCATGGGTAATTCCAACCATTTGGGAGTCTTTAAGACTTGTCACAGTTGGCTAAGAGGGGTACCTGATGCCAAGTGCAGGTTTCCACATATACATTGAGCCTGTATTATATTTTTCCAAGATATCATAAACATTAATTGTACGTCTGGATGAAGATAATTAGTGGCATATAATATGAAACTGCTTCTGTAACATTATAGATTTTATTGGTGATTGTATGTTAAAACTAACCAAAGCAATGACCACTGTATTTTGCCAAGAGCCACTGCAACCAGGATCAAGAGTGTAGAGGGTCCCACCCTTTCACCCAATCAACCCCAACCAGATTTCTACAAGTAACAAATAACAAGTAATCTTCAGTGGTTTTAGCACATTCATCTTATCAGATCATGTCTGAAATATGTAATTTGATCGTATTTTTCTCAATTTTTCTCGACATGAATTAATCTTAATGATCGATTTTTATAATTCTATATAATGGTGCAGAGGTGAACAATATTATGTTTTAACACGTACCGTGTCGTTGACATTGATTACCCAATCAGCTTCCAGCATTGACCAATCAAATTTACGAATCACTGTCACGTGTCAAAACAAATATGGTTCGACTCCCAACCAGTATCGAGATGAGCTTACCCAGCGCTATCTGCTGCTTGTCGAATATCGTTCTAATCATCCGATATAGATACATGTATACTTAATCGATATGTTTCGGTCTATGATTGCATAAAGTAGTTGTATAAGTATCTATAAACGTTTTGAACGTTTATATCAAATATCATAGGTCTGTCGTATAAATGATTTAAATGTATTTTAAGTCTGTCTCATTCCCGCTTCTTCAAATTAAAAAGGTAATCTGGCCCCTACTCTGCAGGGACCAAATTAGAGAGAGCGATTATAGCCTGCTAATACAACGACACGTGCTTCTAAATTTTTCCAACCTGTTGGGCCCTCTTGTATATGATATACTATATATAATGTACTCTTGTTTACTCCAATCTCTTGTCAAATCTGACCAATTATCTTATTAGCTGACTTTGTAGACGTTATTAGTTGATCTGGTCCGCAAGCAGGTGCTAGCTCGGCTCCCTATTGTATGACATTATCGTCCCTCTCTCTCTCTCTCTCTCTCTCTCTCTCTCTCTCTCTCTCTCTCTCTCTCTCTCTCTCTCTCTCTCTCTCTCTCTCTCTCTCTCTCTCTCTCTCTCTCTCTCTCTCTCTCTCTCTCTCTCTCTCTCTCTTTACGCTCACTCAACCCTGGACCCCTGGTAACCATGACAACGACACATATTTACAAATTTTAAATGTAATTTTATACCCTTTCAAGATAAAGCGTGTTAGGTCTGCAAACTGTTCTCTTTGGTTAGCCCCCTATTGTAAATCGTATCTCAGATTATATCGTTAGTGACCTTAGTCTTTCGGCCCAATGAAGTGTTTCATTCTCAAGGACAAGAAGATTACTGAGGTTAAATTGGGTAAGTCGTATTACTGTTATGTAATTATGTGGCGCTCTAATTTTCGTGATATTGCTGTAGTTAAACTGATTGTGGTGTCAGTGTTACTAATTGACCAACTGACCTGCACATTTAACTCTATTATCTGCAAAACCTTAAACCAACGGTTTAAATTTTCTTCCTTGGTTTTGCTTCAAGACACCTTCATTAACCATTTCGTGATCAGTTGATTGGCATTCTCAATCTCTGCTACTTGTTAGGTCACTACAATAGAACCTGGATTAACTCTTTATAAGCACGTGTCTTAATTACTATTTAAGTGTTCAATTGAGTTCTTCGAAACAAAGCAATTCCTTCTTCTCCAATATCTGTTATACAAGTAATTAGATCTCGTTGCCAAGATCTCACGTAAAGCAAGTAACAGTCAATCTAGCAAGTAAGAAGTACTGGTTTGCTCCTACCAGGTTGGGGATTGTAAGGTGCTCTCATTAGGGCATGCTAACTGCGCTATCTTGAGACCTACTTATTTCCCGTATCCCCGCTGATCCAGGTCATCTTTCCGTCCAACACTTGCGCCAGTTTCTCTTGTTGTTCCGTGTTGTTGTTGTTGCTATGTTTTGGTTGCAGAGACCAGAGTTTCCCGGAGCCCGAGTGGGAGTAGAGTCCCTGGGAAATGTGTCAGAGAGGTACAATCCCACACAGTCTCTATCAGATATGATTGAGCAGGATGAAGTGTGGATCAGGGGGGAGGAGGAGGAGAGTTTGAACAAGAAGAGGGAGGTGCTGAGCTTCAGAGGTCCTCAGCAGAGACATCAGCAGAGACACCACCCAGATAAAAGTATGTGTAACTGTAAGAATATTAACTGATATCTGAACCATTGCAATATGAGACCGTCTTGTTAACTCTCTGTAACGGCTACTTTGTCGTCACACCCTGCGTCAATCAAGATCAAGCACTGCCCAGTGCCCCACCGTTGTCAATCCAATCACTTCTGAAAGTTTAAACACTCTGACCTTGTTGTCATTACCTCGTGAGATTGGAACCAACGGAAAGAGTTTTGTTCAAGTAAAACAAGAGAAGTAGACCCCCGGGTTGTAGACCACATCTGGACAGTAAGCAAAATGTACAAATAATTAATGAAATGAGTGTTTTATGGCTAAAAATAGTGCTTGCTGAGTGTATGGTTGTCATGGTAACGTGTTGCATGACATGCATACAACAGTGATAGTGCTCTTATGAGCTCATCAATAGGAACACGTAGAGCTAGAACGAGACGGAGATTGTATTTTCCACATCGTGTGCATCAGAAAAAGTTCGCTGCTAGTTTTTAGGTCGTTAGTTTTTGTATTTTTCTAGTTTTAACTTGTCAGTAGGATTTATCTTAAAACGGAACCAGATGCAGAGCACAGATAATATGTCGGATAGTGAGGACTTGTTCGATTCTTGTTTCTGGGATAACAATGGTAAGCTTAGTTAGCACTAACAGTTCCATTTTAATGTGATATGTTGGTGTTGTGTTGGAAGGATATTTACTTATTGCTCGCTGCTTGTGAAATGATACAGTGGGATTGTAATAAAATCGCTTGTAGTTTACGCAGTGTAGAGGGTATCAATCACGTGTACATGTCATGGTATGACACTTCAAAACCTACTATTTTTACACGGTTATTGTTCCTGAACGGGGTTGTTAACATCTTTTGTTGTTCTACAGAAGCTTCTAGACCAGAACAAAACATCCTTCGCCTTAATTATAACACTTTGACAATGGAACATGTGTGTGATGTGACTCTTGTTTGGCCCTTGTCGTAATGATTGGATTGTACAGACATGTAGGGTGATCTATCACTTTTGTTCTCATAGCTCTCAATTTGTCTTATCGTGGGAGTGGTATTGTGTAACAAAGTACAACACACAATACCTTTATATCTTTTATTATGTTTATTGGGCGCCCCTTTTTTATTGGGTGCCCCTTTTTTATTGGGTACCCATAATAACCAGCCGTATTGTACTTAAGGCAACTCTATCACAATATCATTACAAACTGTAGGGTAGGGGCTGATGATACAAGTAATGAAACATTAGCTGAAATAGATCCTCCTATATTTGGTAACATATTGTAACGGAAGCAGGCGTAGAGAGTGCAATATAGTACCTCCTTAATTGCATGTTTAACCTCCCCGCCCAGGGAGCTGGGAATACAGTCAACTCCCAATTATTATAAATGATGTCTCCCCCGCCAGTTATTTCATGCCAGTACTTCTGTGAACTCGTTATTTGGGGATGTGTCATGTGTCTAGGACTGGTCGTATATCGGTTTTATCTTTTTTGTGGAGCACAGGTTTCTTTCGTTACCCTCTTTTTACTCGCCTCCTAGCACTGATCCATCATTCCGTCGTTAGCATACCTTTCCAAGAGGAGCTGAGTATCCTCAGTCCTGTTCGTTAATTCAACTGTTAAATTTAGTGTTCCCTTCTGATTTCTTCTTCTTCTGAACACTCCTACAATAAAAAACTCTCTAACGCTTAAAATTCTGAATCTAATCCATAATATCCCGTGTTCAATCTGTGTGTATAAAAGTTGGACGTATAATTAGCGAAAAAAACAAATTCCAGACCAATTTATAACAATAGTCACTAGTCAGTACCAGTTATCATGACATTCTAGCATACATTTTACGATGATGTTCATGTTTGTACTGTGTCTAATCCTATTTGAGATACACCATATTTTGATTTAATCACCAACTAAACTTAAATTTGGTACTTACTAGAACAGGTCCGGAGATTAAAGCGAAGTTGTAAGATTAATATGCTAGGAAGCATCACTGTAAGATCGAACCATCAAATTTGCAACATCACCCTCTGCACTCTGCAATCATCACATTAACCGGTGTTTTAAAGTATATGAGAGTGTTGAAGTTAATGAAGTAACAACTTACTGGGACAACACGTGCAACAATTTACCTTCGCAAGTTATTATATAAACTGATATGACGATCACACAGTCGCAGTAGTTATAAACGGAGTATTTATAAAAACCACCATGTTTTTAATATTAGTGTATACCTCCATGCTTGATGTTTTGTCGATTAAATTACCCTTTTCTGTACATCCCGATACCCTATCTAACAATCCTGTTTCCTTTTTAGATATGCATGAAAGAGAGGGAGGAGTCCCGTCCTACGAAGAGTTACTTCAATTCTGGAAGAGGAGTGGCAGTAGATGTAACAGTTCTGAACATTGTAACGGACCCACTGACTGCGCCCAACAGGTATTATTCGTTTAATCAGAGCACACTTTCGATTTTAACTACATACTTTTTAAAAACGTTATTTTGTCCCGTTCCCACTCGATTCACTGAAATATTGTAACGCTTTTATCTCAGTGCTGCGAAGAAGGACCTCCGACAATAGAACAACATAAGCCAACTAAAATACCTGTCCGACCTAATGGTCCAGCCCCCATCGCCATCTTCCCTCAGAAGTGTGACATTAACCCTTCCCTACCCTGGTCCGAATCTTATCTTAAACTCATGGTTAGTGGCGCTGATTTACAGAAACATATAAAATTTGATTTTATTACAAGTTCTGTCGAATGTCATACTATTTGAAATATAATCTGATAGGATATGTTTTCAAACGCTACATTTAGACGAACCATTGTATAGTACAATTTCTAGTCCCACTTATAAGTAGTCCTCTGCCCACATCAGACCATTGATAAGACCCTGGACTATTTAGTATGCAGCAGAGTGCATGCAGTCCAGGCCCTGTTGAGTGTGAGCCCGGACTATTTAGTATGCAGCAGAGTGCATGCAGTCCAGGCCCTGTTGAGTGTGAGCCCGGACTATGTAGTATGCAGCAGAGTGCATGCAGTCCAGGCCCTGTTGAGTGTGAGCCCGGACTATTTAGTATGCAGCAGAGTGCATGCAGTCCAGGCCCCGTTGAGTGTGAGCCCGGACTATGTAGTATGCAGCAGAGTGCATGCAGTCCAGGCCCTGTTGAGTGTGAGCCCGGACTATGTAGTATGCAGCAGAGTGCATGCAGTCCAGGCCCTGTTGAGTGTGAGCCCGGACTATGTAGTATGCAGCAGAGTGCATGCAGTCCAGGCCCTGTTGAGTGTGAGCCCGGACTATGTAGTATGCAGCAGAGTGCATGCAGTCCAGGCCCTGTTGAGTGTGAGCCCGGACTATTTAGTATGCAGCAGAGTGCATGCAGTCCAGGCCCTGTTGAGTGTGAGCCCGGACTATGTAGTATGCACAGCAGAGTGCATGCAGTCCAGGCCCTGTTGAGTGTGAGCCCGGACTATGTAGTATGCAGCAGAGTGCATGCAGTCCAGGTCCTGCTGAGTGTGAGCCCGGACTATGTAGTATGCAGCAGAGTGCATGCAGTCCAGGCCCTGTTGAGTGTGAGCCCGGACTATGTAGTATGCAGCAGAGTGCATGCAGTCCAGGCCCTGTTGAGTGTGAGCCCGGACTATGTAGTATGCAGCAGAGTGCATGCAGTCCAGGCCCTGTTGAGTGTGAGCCCGGACTATGTAGTATGCAGCAGAGTGCATGCAGTCCAGGCCCTGTTGAGTGTGAGCCCGGAATGCTTGTTGCATACGACCAGAACTTGAAGCACAAGTGTGTCCGTTATACAACAAGTAAACCGTTACACCTTGTTCTCAGGGCCGCAGTGCACGTTAGCTCTCATGCACTGTACTGCCTTCTTATTCGCTCCGCCCTGTCATGTGTTAGCAATACTGCCTTCTCATTGGCCAACTGACTCTGATTAGATGCTTTACTTGCTTGCTCTACGTTAGACGGTGGACAAGCATTGACTAAGTCTCTAGTAGAAAAAATAAACTGCATTACACACACGCAGTCGAATATATCTGGATAAAAAGTAGACATGATGTGTCCAATATACCTTAATTCCCAAAAATTTGGGCGACCAAAAATTTGAGCGGGCCTCTCGCCCAAATTTTTTGCAGACCAAATTTATTGCATAAATCTTTTCCGTTTGCTAAATTTTTTGCTAACCAAACTTTTGGCATTTGGCATGTGGCCCTGAAATCTATAGAAAGATGGCTTTTTCTTCATATCCAAGTGAAATAATATTTCAAATTTTAGTTTTCTAATCTGTCATTCATGGCTTGACCAAGTAAAAAGGCTTATATTTTAAATGAATACTGTAGAAATAACTGTAATAGCTAACAGCTACTAATAAAACAAATGGCTAGAGGTACAGATAGCTAGAGATTTAAACAAGATCTGCAAATGGATTATCATCCACCGTAAAGTCTGATCTACAAGCATCAGTTATACCCGATTTCTCAAAACCTTTCCTTATGTCATCTGGCCTCCCTTTTAAATATACAAAAAGTTCGTTGATCCAACGAGCGTGTACTTCACGGATCACTGTCAAGCGGGTATCAATTTTCACATTGTCTGATGAAACTCCTCCATTGAGCTGACACACTATGTTTTTCGCGTACCAATCTTCGTACTTATTGCGCATGAATTTCTTAGCCAATCCAGGGGCTAAAGAGAGACTAAATATCACTATTGTATATCTATCATTTTGTACTGTGCCATCATCACTGTATTTTTAGTAGTTACTGGGCAGATCGTAAATTTCATAATGTGAAACAACTCAGACTACCACCTACATGCTTAAAATTGAAAGCAAAATGACTGGAATAATAAGGAATACCTTACAAGACATATTTATAACGTACGAAATGTGGCGGTTTTCCGAAAATTTCGCCATATTTTCGGACCGCCAAAATTTCGGTCGTTGTAATAGAATCCGTCGCATTATCTTTAAGCTTATTTCAATGACTGTGCCTTCACTGCTTTATTTTGTTTCTAAAAAGTAATATCAAGTAAAATAAATAAATAAATTCTGGCATCTTGGGACAAATTATCACCACACCAATGACGAATTGAATGTCAAGCAATACAGTTTAAATTTGCATTAAAATACATGTATGTGCTAACATGAAAGTCTTACAGTCTTAATACAGACTAAGTTTGAACATGATTTTACCGAATTTCAGAAATTTCCTTACTGCTTACTGTCACAAAAAATGATGAAAAATACCCTTATTTTCTGTGACGTCCGAAATTTGACGGTTTTTGTTCAATTTCGCCATATTTTCGGACCGCCAAAATTTCGGTCGTCGCAAATTAGGCCGCCATAAATATGTCTTGTAAGGTAATAATGAACTAAGGCAAATATCTAACTGAAATTTTAGTGGAAAATCGTTCATTTTTCGAAGAATTTGTGCCCAAATTTTCGGTCGCCCAAATGAGTTCAAATTTTCTGCCCAAATTTTTCGGGCTCAAATAAATTGTGCTCAATATAATGGCACACAAATTTTTGGGAACTAAGGTACACGGGATGACAGTTTGAAAGAGTTGGTACCCCGCTGCGTTTCCCATTAACATGCTACAACCTGCCCTTCTAATTTGCTAACTGACCTCCTGATGAGGTATTGCCATGGTAACGGCGAGTAACGGCTAGTAACCACCTATTGGGTGTAGTAAACTCTAAATACTTTTACAAAACACCTGGATAATGGGACTGGTTGCCATGACGACCAGATCACAAAGATTGAGAGCCAGCAGCTGCTGCCAGCTCCGAGCAGGTCCTTCTTCTTCCGAGCAGATAATTATAATTGTTTAGCTTCCAAATACTGCCTGCACCGCGTAATTGTTGCGCTAAGCTGTACTTTTTAGTATTTGCGGGTAAAACTGTAGACATGTGTCCATACTGATGATTTAGAAATGTAATTTTTACAGTGTTTATGAGTGGGAACTACCATCCTGTGTGTGGTCTGCTCCTGGGTTGATAATATAATAATAACTTAGCAGGGAAGATTCGTTCCCCTCTATCATATTTAGCGGTTATGATTTATGAAACTTAGGTCTCCAACTGACCATGAAATGAAAGGCATCACAGATTGGTTCACTTAAAAGCCTGTCAGGCTGTCACTTCTGGCCCATTTCAAAGTTTAATGAGCATTACCGTTTAGTGTGCTTGCTCTATCACGTGTCACTAAGTGATGTGGTACAAAGTAGTGTGGTACAAAGTAGTGTGGTACAGGAAGGCACTCAGACAGGTGGAACATGAACTAACGGTCATCTCTATTCTAATTTAGATTAAATTATAGTTTATTGCTGCATCTTGTATTCTCTACTTTACAGAGAGCTAAATTGCTTTATTGTCAAGTTAAGGGTATTTTGGACAGTAGATTGCCCCTAAATTAAGCTTAAGAGACATTTTAAAATATTCCATAATAGTTGTCTGTACATCTAGCTATAATCTTTAAATTGACGGGTTGTATCATTAAATACCACAAATACCACCAGGAGAAGATAGGAGACATCACACAGTTGCTGTGGGGCTCAGGGTTAGAATACAGAGTTTACTCCAAAGTGGAGAAGATACTCTACAACACAGTCGAGGAGCTGTATCCAGAGGTCGTCGACTACAGACAAGAGTTCATCAAGTAAGTCACCTGGATATTATCTACCTTTAATCCCAGTATTGATCTAGGTCAGGGGAACTTTTTTGGTTATTTTTGAAAAAATTCCGCGCCTTTTGAAGCATTAACCGTTATTGGTCGAGGTTATAATTTAGAAAAATTAATCTTCCCGCTTTTTCCGCCTTCTAGAAAATGACATAACTATGACTTTACCCGATCCTGGATTATACGAAGCTACAAACATAATAATATAAGTAGGTCAGGTCAATATCACATACCACTATAATATTATGTCCATGTTCAGGGTATATGGAAGTATATATTGTTGCTCTCTGGCTTCGTTTCTAGGATACCCACACGTAACTGATCAGGTAGGCTCCCTGGCCGGCCCCCTGGCTCCCTGGCCAGCATGCTCCCTAACTCTCACCATAGCAACCATCTAATGGTAACTTTTATCACCTGGATCAAATGACACACAAACTAGATTTGAAATACTCCCGCTGGGAATTGTTCTGGAGTGTTCCACTTAGTGACCGGGAATAAAACTTGGCTCCTAGAAAGCCAGTAATTGCTATTCGCCCCCCCCCCCGGCCCCTGAACATTATTGATTAAGTGTCAATAGTACTGTTGGCTTTGTTGAGTTAAATTAACATCTTAGATTTCGCTATAACAAACCATCATCCATATAATAATACATAAGCATATCCGACTTAATAAATGAGACAACAGCGATCAACCTTTTAACCTTTTAGCACGTCATATTATATTAGAACTTAGACCCTGCTCATTCTGAATATACAACTATAAATTGCCTCCCTTGCAATCTGGGAAGCAATCAGGTTGATTTGTTGCTATTTAACTAAATAACTGATTTTAAAACACATTTCTACCAACATTGTAGGAGGCTATCAGGTGGGGCCGGTTGTATTGTGAGATCTTGTGCGGATTACCATGTATGGAATAAACGCTATCGTTTCCACGGTTACTACATATCAAGCATGCAGATTTAAATGTCGTCTTCGTTATTGACTACCAGTTTGGGAACTCATTGAGGAGTTTAATGGCTGTAGAGGAACCACCCTCAACCACCCTCAACTACCTCCAATCAGTATTTGTTATAAACCACCTGACACGTTAACAGTTCATGAAACGAGGGTGTAAAATGTAATATGTTAGGTACAAAGTAGAGAGAAACATTTCCGCACACACTCGTTTAAAAAGAGTGTAATGGCGTAATGTTGTTCCCAGGTATGTTACATACATTCACCTTACTTACAACTACTTAGGGTCCCACTTAAGACATTATCTATCAGTTGTACACTTCCAAACATCCGCCGTTACCATGACTACTAGTGTAACTTTCAAATGCTTGTAATTTCAATTAGCTGTATCATCTCCCCCAACCTCGGTTTAAAATGATCTATCAGTACTCTCTTACAGTGCGTTTTATAATAATATATATATAGGCTGAGCCTACAATCCAGTGACCTTAGCTTATTGTTGCTGCTGTAATTAGTTACCATGGCAACGTAACAGTAAGGTAAACAATATCTAATTTTACAGCTAGTATCGTATTATCGGTTGCTATGGTTTCTAACGAGATGAACTGAGGCTCAGGAAATTCGAAATATCCCGCCTTTGCCCGGTAGGAATGAGGTGACAATACCGGTGCGCTAATCAGATAATATGTCGCTGTGTATGGGTACCCATTCTTGGTAAAAGGTTCATTAAGGGGATTAATTGAATGGTGTGGAAGTGTTTAATCTGTTTCTTCTTAAACGATACAAGATGAAGTCACACACCATAGCCATGTGCATTTGTACACAATTACAGTTATCAAGATAGGTTTACAATTTCATAAGCTTAAAAGGTAAGGTTCATTTCCCTAAATACGCACGTGCACGAGTATTAGTTATCAGTAGGAACCTGCCATGAACTTGCAGGTATGTATAGGAGCCAAGTATGAAGTGAGGTATTCACCGCCTTCAATTGCAACAGTGAGACTTACAAGGTCCATCTCTATCAGGCAAGCCAGTCTTGCTCAGTATTGCAACTTAAATAGGAATTGGTGCACTATTCGCAAATTATTGAATTTGAGAGTAAGTGTCCACTATCAGCTAATGGCAGTCTAAAATCATCACAGTGCTAGAAAGCCTTGTAAGTGTTTGTTATTTCTCAACAAACCACTACGTGACATAGGTCACATAGGTAGGTCACATAGGTAGGTCACATAGGTAGGTCACGTGACCCAACCTCTCAATCATGACCACTGTGGGACAGTTAGTTGTACACTACATTTAAACATATACCCACTATGTAATCTAACTGTATGAAGTACAGCGCCATGATTACAGGTTATGAAGCAAGCCAGTCTTGCTCAGTATTGCAACTTAAATAGGAATTGGTGCACTATTCGCAAATTATTGAATTTGAGAGTAAGTGTCCACTATCAGCTAATGGCAGTCTAAAATCATCACAGTGCTAGAAAGCCTTGTAAGTGTTTGTTATTTCTCAACAAACCACTACGTGACATAGGTAGGTCACATAGGTAGGTCACATAGGTAGGTCACATAGGTAGGTCACGTGACCCAACCTCTCAATCATGACCACTGTGGGACAGTGGTACACTACATTTAAACATATACCCACTATGTAATCTAACTGTATGAAGTACAGCGCCATGATTACAGGTTATGAAGTACACAAGATGAACAGGTCACTACAGATGCGGTAGTGCTCTACCAAGTATGTATGGTATTTGCCTGAGGGGCCTGCTTAAAATAGCTCATTATACAGGCTCTAAAGCACCTATTCTATAATGTATTATGTACTGCCTTCTTTGATTTGACTGGTTTTATAGAACTGTTCAATACATCATACATGGTATCAAGTCTTTAAACATCACAATGTCACATATTATATTGTCAGCTTGTCCGATCCTATCATTTCGCGAATAACTCTGCAACTCTGTAACATTATTCGTCTAAACTAATATATTATAATAATTCCCACGAATTGACGTTATCATTTCACTAGTATAACTATTTATCTATCAACTTACATTTGCACAAAACGCAACCCTTAACGGATAGTGATTAATCTATATAAGCGATTATACGGTCAGCGTAACTTGAATCAGTTTTCTTTCGATAGCAGAGGTAGAAATTCCCCGCAAGCACGACCAAAGATTAGTATTATCGGAATTAATTAATTGTCTGTTGAGGGTAACTCTTAGGACTTACAGTACATTATGTCGACTTTAATTCGAAATAATCCTAGCAAGTAACTGGGACATATACTACTTGAGTGGACGTCAATACGGAATGCGCGGAGTAAAAGTTACTGAATAAAATGTGTCTTGTTTCATTCACCGTAACATGAAAGTTTAGCGCGTAACTGGTAACGCGCGCGTGATCGACTATTTCCGAAAATTTAAACTATTTTCATTTTCTCACAATTCAGGATAGGAAATGATTTTAAAACTTTGTTTTACCGTTTTCTTCTTTCAGGGACGTTTGTATAATTCCAGAAACCCTAAGCCCATATCCTCGAACAAAGCCAAAATCCTCAAAATCAAAGAAGAAGGAGAGTAAAGTTCGAGAGAAGAAATCAGTAAAATCGATGTTACCAAACAGACTGGGGAGACCTCCCAAGCGGCCACAACATCATGACGGTATTTACCAATGTGAATACTGCACCAGAACCTTCCCCACACCACAAGGTAAAGATATTTATAATTTTATTGTTAAAAACATATTTAATAATGTTTACAAAACGCATATGAGTAATTTCGACGAATCCACTCTAGCCTCTACTTTTAGTCGCTTGCTCGGTAATAATTGTTTGCTATCGAAAATGAACCACTGCTGAACTTTTTCACCCAGCTTTGTTACTTAACTAACTAAACTGTTCTGTTTCAGGAATACAATCCCACATCACCCTATCCCACGCCAACATGCAGACAGAGGAGGAATTTGACCGCTCTACAGGAATGCACAAGTGTCAGTTTTGTAGACGTCTCTTCCCCCAGGTAAGAATATTTCCTGTGTGTTTTATACTTCAGTCTTTATTCGGGCTAGTTCGTAATTTTGCTTCAAATCAAGTTGACGAGAAAATATCTGTCTTCATAGGCGTTTGGGTTGCAGCTGAAAGTTACAACCTCCGAAATCCGAATCTAATTTTATAAATACTTTCAGGAACACGGTTTGAAGACCCACATCTCCTGTACCCATCTACAGAAAGTATACAAGTGCCCTGAATGTGGCAAAGGATTTCCTAAGAAATATGCCATGATCAGACACAGGTCCACTCATGTTAACAAGGATTTCATGCCTCAGAAGTGTCCTTACTGCGATGCTATGGTCTCAGTCAGGTAAACTACCTGAATGATCAATGAAGTCTTTAAAAAGATTTTGAGAAGATCGGTTTTGCTATTTTTTGGAGAGGTTTTGCAACGGAACAACGCTATAGTCAATAATATTGTTCCAGTTGTTAACTTAAGCTCTGTCTGATTCTTAATTTTCGTTCGTTTCAGATACTTCAAATCCCACATATTTACCCGCCATCTGTACAAGACCTACAAGTGCGAGGATTGCCACCAGACCTTCAACGACCAAGCACAGTTCCACAAACACCTCTGGACTCATCCCATGAAGAAGTACCGGTGTGAGCAGTGTCCTATGAGCTTCAACGCCAGCTACAAACTTGAAAATCACCAGAAATCTCACGAGGTAATTTGATTTCAAATCGTTTTGAGTTATATGATACATAGTGTGTGACATAGTCTCTCTGTATATTTAAAAAAAAGTAATTTGATAATATAATAACGACGGAATCATGTAGGCTGACGATAAGACAGCTAAGAGGTTAAAACCAGAGTTAGTGCACCACGAAGAAGAGGTGGAAGAGGAGGAAGTGATAGAAACGTCAGCGGAGGAGTACGACGAGGAGATCACATTCCAAGACGGTAGTCTCATCATCTCATGAAGGAGAATCTGACTCAGCAAAGTTAATAAGCTGTTTTAAGATATTGGGACAACCTGGACGTGGTATGTCGACCCAGTGAACTGAGACGCAGATTCAGATGGGATTAAAGTAAAGCTTGCCAGTGCATATCTAAGCCAAGGTGGTACGATACATTTTGTGAAACTGGGGAATGGATATGCTGAACAATTTCGATAAGACTACAAAATTGGAATAGCTTATAAAGTTATAAGGTTTCTCTTCACTCGCATTCGACGAAAACCTATTGGGTTGTTCATTTCAATTTATATAATGGAACAACGAACTTTTTAGAGTTCATTGTTGCACTTTGCCCCTGTTTATTATGACTTCTCATTCCAAGTTATTAAACGGATCAGTTTCATGATCTTTATTTGGATCTATATATGGAATTTCCGGTATCCTCCCCGTGCAGAAGTAGTTATAGGAATTCAGAACGAATACTGTGAAAATTTTTGTTTGTGTAGAAATTGTTTTTATGTTTATAAATGTTCATTATATTATAGCCATGAAACAGTTTTGCACCTGGTCAATTGTACATTCACTGACAGTTGTAAGTTTGAAGGAGCTTTCACTGTAATATGTAAGTTTTAGCTTAATAATAATATTTCAAGTGTGAACGTTTTATTATCACGCTTGAATCGTGGTATGTAGTTTACGTTAGAATTGCTTAATTCTAAGAAATTCTAGAATGCTATTCTAGAATTTCTTGATTGTGAGGGTTTCCAAATGTTTTGAAGAGAGTGATAGTTAATGTCGACGACAGTTTAACTTTGGTTTTAAATCATCAAATGTACTTTACTGAGGAGCGGAGATCGAAGCTGTGTTGCACTCAACATCTAGAACTTTCTATACGGGTTTTATTCTAGGGGCATTCATTTGTAGATTTATTGCATATAGCACACATTATGTTACTGTAAATAACTTGAAAAATTAAAAGCAAAATATGAAATAACTTGTTTTATTTCCATCATTTTTATTGAAATTATTTTCGCCGGAGTACACCCGCTTCCAGCCAGCTACCATTGGAATGAACTGACTGAAACGTGCAGTAATTTTTAGACAATGTACACATTGTTAAAATTCAAAAGAATTTGAAACATCTTTTAGATCATACAGTAGGATTGTTCTTCAAAAGCTATAATTTTTCGAAAATAAAAATGAGACAAAAGCCAATCGTGCAAAAAATCATGAAAATCTTGAGAGATGAAAATAACATTACATAATAAAATTTAGCCATTTAAAAGTGGGCAAAAGCAAATTGCATATATTTGAGAAATTTCCATTTGAGTTTCTTAAGTTGAAATTAGAGAGGAAATAACTGACATTTAAAACTAGAAACATCAAGCCAGTCTTTTATGGCACAACAACTGGTTCACCACTTTACGTCGTGTCTTTAACAACCTCGTCAAGTTTCTCAGTTCTTTAGTTCTTTAAACTGTATCAGCTGCCTTCAGAACGAGTCTTCCGATCGAAGAGTGGTAGAAGAGTCTTAAGAAAGGAGTGTAACCTCTGCTTTTGTAGCCCTCTTTACCTGGTATTTGGGACGATAACCAGGGGTGACAACCCTGTTCCTCCCTGTAATGGTTTCCCACATGTACACTCTAAGATGAGAGACCCTAGACACCAGAATGAGAGGGTTGAGGGCCGCGTTTAAGAAGAAAGGAATGTAGCCTGTCGCGTAGAATCTGCCTTTATAGAAGGCCCTCACTTTTGTTGTACAGACTATTAGAGGTTGGTAGAGAGTGAAAGCTGAACAGGCTATAAAGAGAGTTCCAATCAGTATGATTGTGCCGCTTATCTGCCTCTTTTCCCGTATGTCTCGCTTAGGATCCTCAGTAATGGCATTACCTGTTTTCAGCAGGAATATGACCTGAATTATGGTGGTGACTAGGGTGATACTAGCGCACAGAAACACCGGAGATGCAGTGTATATCAAATCAAGATAGCATTCATTTGTACTGTTGAAAATACCTCCCATGTTTTGAAATACCTTCCCTTTGTTGGGTTGGTAGAAGTAGCCGGCTAGAACAAACTCACCCTCAAACTCTGATTCACTTAAATTGTATCGTGAATACAAGAGGACTCCAGTCTCTAGTGAAGATATAGCAAGCCAAATGAAGAGCCAGACAAAGATAGAGATGATGGCTGGTTTTCTTTTTACACTGCTAAAGGGCGAGACTATGTTGATGGTTCGAATCACGCTGAAGATCATACTCACGAAAGCAGACACTTTGAAGGTTACAACTGTTAGAAAGTAGCTGGGGATGATCAACCAGAAGATAGGATTGTAACCTGAATTTTTGAGGGCTATGATAGTGATGAAGATAATGGAATGGATACCAGCACAGACCCCGGTTAGAAAATCGCTGGAGCTTAGAATAAAGTAAAGAAAAGGAATCAGATTCTTAATTTTAGGCCAGTAGTAAGTCATGATACCGAGATTAAGGATAACTGCTCCAGCACATAATATAATAGTCACTGCAATTATGACAGCGTTGAATTCTACGCCGAGATATGCTGGGTTCAGTCCAACGATTTCTGGAACTCTCTGCACAACATCGGGGTCAAATGTTCCGGATACTATTCCTCCTGGACTGTTATATTCAGCATCGGGGTCAAATGTTCCGGATACTATTCCTCCTGGACTGGTATATTCAGCCCCTGTCGTGTTTGCACTGGTAGTGAAATTCGAATAGAGTCCAGTCATAGGAATTGGCGTCATCTTTAGCTGCTGTTTACCTAGAGGAGGGGTGTAAATATTTTAAATCGCTGTGACATTTTTTTAACGGTACACATAAAAGATGGTGATGACGAAATTACGAGTGCAACAGTGCAGTACAAACACAAGGAATTTCGGAATTTTTTTTGGCCAGTTAAAACCAGTTATAAATGAAGCAAACTCAATAAAACATGAGACCGGAGCGACTAGCCGAGCCTATAAAAGAACATCCAGTAACAGCTTTCGAGACTGGGACAGCAAGGAAGAGTGATTTTTCATCATCCGGGCCGTACAAACATGAAATTAGATTAAATCAAATGCAACCGAAAGTAAAAGCAAGTCCGCCTTTAGGAACGAGTGTATCAATCTACACGGTAAATCGATTACGTTAATCTAACAACAATAGGCTTACATTTATCAATGACGTCATGGCCAAAAGGAAAGCATTGACACGAATGAATGGAGCAGGGGAATGGGCGATTTCATTTAAAGATTCTAAAGTGGCATCTTATCCAAGGACTGTGAATCGTTCAAAATTAATTAAAGATCTTATTATTTGCACTACTTTTAATAACAAATCATTTAAACTTTATTTTATAGCCATGACTCCACACACCCATAGTCATTGGTCAACACGTACCTAGAAGTATGTATAATACTCATGACACCATGAATGTGATTAAAACGATTACCATAAACTTCTACGCTCAAAAGAGGGCTATAACACTTAACAGTATCTACATTTGCCCGGACAGATCAGTGGAAGAAAGGAGGTCTCTACGACCTTCAGAAGCAAAGGGTCAGCTGCGTCATTGGGTCAATATGGGCGTGGCCCTCCTGGGGTTTCCCCACGATTAAACAAATGTCTTCACTCGGAAATCGTTTATTCATACATACCTTTGGGACGGTCTGTGCAAAGTTTCGTGAGTATCTAGAAATTTGCAGGTACATGTCCATAAATGACTAGACTAAATGCAAATAGGAGACTGAGAAGTAAAGGCAGGCAGGAGGAGTGATCATGCTCTTTATACTGTTTTCCTTTTGTGTCACGTTGGATATCCATTCAAATACGTAATGGATTTGGTAGATTTTACATAAGAAAATGGGTATAACCGCGTGAATCAAATAACAACAGAACAAAAGCGCGGAGTCATGTGGTGACTAAGAATATATCCTGTTGGCTCGAAACCTAAAGAAATCTATTAAATCATCGGGCTGGGTTTCAAATAAAATTGAAATGCGGATTCTTCAAAATGCGGAATAACAAAGCAGTTGAACTTGAGGTTATAACGTAATTTTAACTTTGTGCTCTCATTGTCCAACCCTATTTTGTACACTGTAGCGTCCTTCGAGTTTTGGGTACATAGACTATTAGTATTACTAACATACAAAATGTATAGTATGATACGTAAGTTTAATTTCGGTGATCAGTTTTTATCTTTGTACTTGACCCATAAATAAAATCATTATGTAAGGTCCTTAATGGCCAATGGGGAAGGATTCGCCATTTCACATTTGTGGCACTAAATGTTAATGACGAAATAACCATCAATGGCGATGACCGAGCGTTGTTAATCACTCCAAATTCAAATGTAGAGATTCTTCTTAAAGAAATTTTGATTATCATTTCATGCATGGCGCTTCCTAGTAGTCAAAACCAACTTCAAACTTAAATTAAAATAGAAATATATGTGAAAGTCGATTCTGAAGGACCGCACATAAAGGCCTCATTATATTTTTATGGGATAAAATACTCCCTGACGAGTTATGGCCGAAAAATGTTTTTATCACTTCTGTTGTCATTTGTTCAGGAAGTAGGTCAAATTTCTTGTCAAGTTTGGGGTTTCAGTCATAATTTTTGGGCTAATATTTGGGTTACGGTTTAGGTTACAGTGCAAGGTGATGGTTTCGGATTATTTGTCAATTAGAACGTGTTAAAGTTAGTCACGTGACAGCGAGCGTAGAGTGATTGATTGTCATTTGTTGTCATTAAGGAAAGGTTCCGTCAAAATTGAAACGAGTTGACCTAAAAAAGTGGTTATTCAAGTTTAACCATTTGTCATTGTTTGACATCTTTTAAGATATTTGACATTTTTGCTGTTCGATGCAGTTTTTGTTGTGGCAACATAGTCACCATAAAATTCTAAAGAAGACCTAGTATCAATATAGTTCGTTTTTTTTCGATACTCAATAGTACCAGGCAATTTATATTAGGTAATATAATGAGATATTGGTGGATCGGAATTTGAATTTGGAAATAAAAATACAGCTTTTGCCAGCACTGCTTATCAATCTACTAAAAACTAACTAATCTTCTGACAATTTATACACATTTTAAACAATGACTTCAATTACCTTCAAATTCAAGAAGTAAGAACAAATGTAAAATACCATCACAAAGTTGAATCTCTTTTTTAAATAACTTTTTAAAGTAACAAATATTCACTAAAACTAAACTGAGAATAAATATCATTTATATATTATACTACAAGCTAAGTACAATAGAAATTTTAGAAAGATCAAAATTGCATATTTGAAGATGATAGAAATAGAATAGGTAAAATGCAAATAACTTGAAAGCAATATTAATTTGAGAATTCAACAGCCATTTTGCTTCATTATTCCAAATTGAAATGAAAATATTTATGTACAAAGGCTGAATGATTCGACAGAATTCTTAGTCTTACTTCACTGTCTGTTTTTGTCACAACTTTTACAAGAGCAGGGAAAGAGAATCAATAAAACAAAATTACTAAATCACGACATAATATCGCAATGTCTCAATAGGAGATCAGGGTGAGGTGAAATGTTGCACTCCCGAAAGAAATGAAAATCCACGAGCGGGAACTGGAAGACGAAGTTTCGGCGCTCAAACAGTCTTGTGTGCTCCAATCCCCATGACAACGTGCTTTTTACCATCTCAAGAATGTTTCCAGTCTTAAAGCCCTTCTGTAATCCCATTATGACTGAACACTATTCCCGGAGATGTTACGAATGAATCTCCCGAAAAGAGAAGAGGATGAAGATTGAGAAATGAATGTCGACAATCTGTCAAGTCTGCTCTCCGCGTGTGTAGGACGACCCTGTGTCTGCGCGCTCCTGCAAGTTAGGATGCCCCACATGTAGGCTTTCAGCTGGGAGACTCTAAGTACCAAGATCAGGGGGTTGAGGGCTGAGTTGAGGAAGAAGGAGATATATCCTGTTACATAGACAATGTGGAGGTAGGAGAACCTCATACCATAACAGTTGTTCAGAGGTTGGTAGAGAGTGAAAGTTGAGCAGACTATAAAGAGAGCTCCAATCAGTATGATTGTGACGCTTATCTTCTTCTTTGATCGCATGTCTCCTTCAGGATCACTAGTCACTGCGCCGCTACTTTTTAAGAGGAATATTACTTGATTATGGTGGCAATCAAGGTTATACTTGCACAGAGAAACACCGGAGATGCGGTGTAGATTATGCCGATGAGACATGCCGCAGTATCTGGTGAACCTTTGTAATCATCCACACGGTCACCACCTCTGCCGAAAGCTCCGTCCATTAGGCTGCTTTGAAAAACCTTACCTTTATTGGGCTGATAGAAGTAACCGATCAGAGCAATCTCTGCAATTTGAGTTTGAGGACTGTGTGATTTCACTTTAAGCACCTGCTTTACGATCAGTCCAATCTCTAAGGAAGATATAGCAAGCCAAATGAAGAGCCAGACAAAGATAGAGATGATGGCTGGTTTTCTTTTTACACTGCTAAAGGGCGAGACTATGTTGATGGTTCGAATCACGCTGAAGATCATACTCACGAAAGCAGACACTTTGAAGGTTACAACTGTGAGAAAGTAGCTGGGGATGATCAGCCAGAAGATAGGATTGTAACCTGAATTTTTGAGGGCTATGATAGTGATGAAGATAATGGAATGGATACCAGCACAGACCCCGGTTAGAAAGTCGCTGCAACTTAGAATAAAGTAAAGAAAAGGAATCAGATTCTTAATCTTAGGCCAGTAGTAAGTCATGATACCGAGATTAAGGATAACGGCTCCAGCACATAATATAATAGTCACTGCGATTATGACAGCGTTGAATTCTACGCCGAGATACGCTGGGTTCAGTCTAACGATTCCTGGATCTGTCTGCACAACATCGGGGTCAAATGTTCCAGATACTATTCCTCCTGGACTGGTATATTCAGCATCGGGGTCAAATGTTCCTGATCCCATTCCTCCTAGACTGGTATATTCAGCCCCTGTCGTGTTTGCACTGGTAGTGAATTTCAAATAGAGTCCAGTCATAGGAATTGGCGTCATCTTTAGCTGCTGTTTACCTAGAGGAGGGGTGTAAATATTTTAAATCGCTGTGACATTTTTTAACGGTACACATAAAAGATGATGATAATGAAATTACGAAATGAAATATTTGGGACAGCTTGTGTTATGCGATATAACCAGAATGAGAATCTTAATCGACCAATGATTAAATAAAGTTGACATTAAACGTATTTCGATTTTATTTCATTGTGAAATTTTCGACCGATAAACATTTTACAATAACATTAGTGTTGAACGGTGCAGGCACGTAGCCAGGGGGGGGGGGGGGGGGGGGGGGGGGTCAAAAAGTCAAAATCTTAAGACGATGAGGCCTGAGTAAGTCGTAAATTCTGATTGAAGAATTCAATTGCTGTTGTGAAGTTACCAAATTTACGTAAGTACTTGATTATTTTCAATCCCAGTTTATTGCTGTCCTACAAATTTCTTTAATGCCAAATGTCGTCTAAAACACCCTATTTCGCAAGATTTTTCCGGGGGGTTGCGCCCCCTAGCCCCTGCCGTGGGGCTGCGCCCCCAGACCCCTGCCACAGCTTGAAAAATCCTGGCTACGTGCCTGGAACGATGAACCAGATATTTGAAGCGGATATTGAAAGAGACGCAACAAATACAAAGGCTAGACAGTGAATGATCTAGAAGATCTCTGTATAGAGAAAATCTAAATGCTAAGCTTGTCCAAAATTTGAGGAATTATTGGTATTTTCACTAATAAGCAAACAATAGAAGTGAATTTTTGACAATCAAGCGTCAGATCAAATACATTTTGTTCATAGTATCGTTACTTGGGGACCCCAGGTTATAATGCTCGGCGGGATGAGAGGCTGATAGTATGGACGGTTACTATGGTTACTATGGTTACTGAGCGCCGCGCCCAGTAAACAGTATCGGTGCCAGACGCATCCGACAGTTCCATGTGGTGTCGTTGTAGTGAATTGTGGTACAATAAATAGTCAGAACGGGACACTGAGCACTGTATTTTATGCTTTAAAATGTAAGTCTGAAAATTGCAGAAGAAGATAAAATTGTTCGAAAGGAACAAGCCCCTGTAAGCAGTATTCTGAATTAATGGTATTACTTCTGTGTTTCATTTGTTGCATACTATTGCCGGGTCAAAATCGAAGCCTCAAAATCGAAGCCTCAAAATCGAAGCCTCAAAATCGAAGCCTCAAAATCGAAGCCTCAAAAACAGTGGTCCCGCGCCAGATTCCAATCAACACCACTTGTTGAAAGATTAAAGCTTGAAGGGGTTGGTAACAGTCGAATTAACATACTAATCATTGATGTTCAGCAGTGTATTTGCGTGTAGTATTAACAGAGAAAGATGAAATCATCGGAATACTTAAATTTCAATACCTATAACTATGATTTCATCGTATTATGTTTCCCCTTCCCAAAATATTTATTATTTTTAGGATTGATACGACAAAAAAAGTTTGACCAAGATGAGAAATAATATTAGCTGTATAGACTATAGGGTGGTGACTGAAAACAAAGCAATGGAATTACTACTAATGGTTGACTGGCAGCAGGACATAGTCAATTCAAATAGTATGATTTTGTGATCAATAGAATTAAGAAAACAATGAGATTCTGGAGTTCATTCAGATTCATGCTATAATAAATGTCTCAGCAATTATAAATC